CCTTTATTTTGGCATAAAAATGGTAATGATTAATATAGAACCACATTATACAAACATTTAACGTTAAAATACATAAAATGAGGGATTGAACGAGTGCATTATTAAATTTATTTGACGAGCTGAAAAAAATCATACTGTGCGAGCCTCTGGCAACCAAAATATTATTTTATTCAACGAGTTCAATAAGTTCAGTAATGAACCTATAATATTCTATTTATCACGAGAAAAAGGATCATTTTTCCATTGACGCGCCTATAGTGTAAAGCTAATAGTGCGTTTGAATAACGCAAATAACACCTCTTCAAAAATATATGCACGACCTAACAATACTTTTTACGTAGTCGCAAAGAGCAGGGATATGCGAATGATATTGAAAGTGCGCGACATTGATCTGTATTCTTTTTGAATGCGTCAATTTTCTCAAATAAACGTATTCTTTACCACATAAACTTCAAGCCTCAATAATATTAAACACAAATTATTGTCACAAAGATTTCTATCAGGAGCCGTTTTTTATAAACTAAAACAAATATCTTTAACCTTCAGAGATAAAATCTGAGAAGGTCATGGCTCGAATAGGTTTTTTTTGTCTTTATGAAACATTTTCCATTTTCTTACAATCTGTAGAGTGAAAATTGCCAGACAATGAAACATTATTCAATCAAAATGATTCTGTAACACTTTCCTGTTTTTAATGTAACAATTATGTTGTCTCTTTTTCTTACATCGTCAATTTTATAGTGAGCCATTTTCTTTGAAATATTTGCTGCTATAACGATATTTACTTCATTGTTATAGGCATGATCATTCCAGGTGTAGGCTGTGACTGAAATTGTCGGATTGTTCTATTCACTTTCCAGACATGTCCTGTCTTGTAGTCGTTCGCATTCCCTATTTGAACAAGGGACTTTATCATATTTTTGATAGCTTTCTTGAAATATTTTGGCGGCCTTAGCCCTTTCTTGTGAACGATATTGAGTTCCGTTATAAACATATGTGATATATGTAACGTATTTCTGCGAATTTCGCTCATTGCATTTATACTGTCATTCGATAAGTCCATCACACATGCTGCAATATCGTCCTTTCTTGTACATTCACACATATGTTTTAATAGGAAGGTCTTCAATGTGTATGATTTAAACACCTCTATCTTGTATTGACTGTCACTTCCAAATATACATGTATATTTCATGACTTTGTAACAACGAATGTGATGCGAAAGTACTGAATTAGAAAACAACCATGAGTAGTCTTGAAACCGCGGACAGCAACTCATACTCATATAATCGTTTTTATTTGTACTCAATAACTGAACCTCTGTTTCAGTAAAGGTCAACCGGAAGCACAATCCATCCCGGCACGAGGCCGCCCTATTACATGGGACAATCATGTATCTATTTGTGTTTTTCAATGCTTGATAAAATCGTTGGTCATAGACCTGAGATTCCTCTAATATTTCCTCCGATAGTTCGAGCTGTATAGCAGGGGTAAGATCAACACTGATGTTTAAGTCTTTACCTTGTAAACCAATCGGTTTCCAATGGAATGCCACCGTAAAAGCTGGTCCGTGTCGTACCAAGGACGCCTTTCTAAGACTTAACACTCCAGACTCCATGACGCACGTTCTCTCAATTTTCATAACAGTGGCAAGTACGTTTTTTAATTGTTTATAAAATTCCTGCCTTAAGCCAACATCATAGCCGAACATCCAATGAAAAAAGTACGAGATTCCTGAACACCTTGTGACTTTAATTAGATTCTTATGTAAGCAACGACTCCATTGTGATCTTAATGTTTCATCATTGACGATCACGTGCTTATAGCCACTCCCCTGTTCTTTCTCGTCAATGACGTCTACAGCTCCGGGTCTAGAAAGATGTTCAAGAACAAGAATAAAATCAAATTCGTCTGGCTCCCGTATTTTCGTACCTTCTCTCATACTGCCTACACTTACCACTCTTAATATCTTCAAATGTCCATGTTGTTTGCCGAGTGTACATGCTATTCTTTCTACCATAACATTTACAGCAGTTTGGATATCATGAACTTCTTGGTCTGATCTATGAAATCGTAGCTTTGTTTCTAAAACGTGCGAAAAATATAAATTTAAGTCATTCCTTTGCTTTTCAGTAGATTTTATTTGTTTGTTACCCATTTTCTCATCTGTTACTGTGCATTTAGCATACAACACAATGACAAACTCTTAAAAACAATGCAATGTAGAAGCACTACTGTAATGTAGCATTTTTGCAATAAACCAACATACATCTGTAAACTGAGCACATAGTTTCTTGCATTGTATTATACCAGTAAATCATATGACCGATCTGTACATGTATTTAAGTCCGACAAGAGGCGTCCAGGGAGACAACAATTGTAAACAGCTAGTTTATGCGATCCATTGAATAGATAACTTTCGCATTTTCACTCTAAAAACAAAAAAACAAAATTAATAATAATGATATTAACAATAATCATAGTAATTATAAAAAACAAAATAAACCAAATAAATAGTAAAAAAAATAACTTTGAGCGCAAACTCCGCGCACTGGTTTACGCGGTTTACGGTGATCTAAATTTAATAGAAAGTTGGTTTTCCAAAATTAAAAATATAGCTATTTATCACACACCCGTGCCGATTTTGCGACTCCGTAAATATGGTATTGCACGGCCGTGCATATATTTTGACGTGACGTCATTAGCGTTATACAAACATAGTGTAAAGACACTCTAAATGTTAGCATAATACTATAGGCGCGTCAGTGAAAAATGACTCTTTTTTCACTTTAAACGGTTTTTATTTTGGATGTGTGATAAATAGAATATTAAATTCGTGAAAGTTCATTACTGAATTTATTGCACTCGTTGAATAAAATAATATTATGCTCGCCAGAGGCTCGCATAATATTAAAAGAATAATAATGTATATTAAACAACAGGAAGCAATTTACACAATATCACACATAATAAAAAATAAACCATTAATTGCTTTTTACATGTAAAATTTTACTCGAATTTTGAATCTTTCTACTTTTCCTAAACTCTCTGTTTATTTTACGCAAGTGTGTATTTATTGAAATATTTTTGCTCAACTGGAAGCATGCTGCTTTAAGCTATTTTAGGGAAAATAAATTTATACGCATTGTTTACACGGCATAAAGCTCTCAATGAATATACCTCGCCGAAATTTTTTTTTACGATCAAGCTCCCAAATTTATGCAATTTTTTTCTTTTTACGTATATACATACATGTCTTATTTTTTTCAACATCATCATCATCACTATCCTGCTCCTCCTCATCATCATCTCAATCGTTATCATCAACACAATACGACATAATCATCTGTAGATCATCATTATAACAACCATCATCATAACCATCACCAGTAAATCACCATAATCAGTAAATTATCATCATAATCATCATCTATAGTACATTATCATCATAATCTATTCGAATAATATAAAGCAAGTGGACTCAACATATTCATATTTCTCGATGTAATACTGTTAAAGTTATAAGCGATGATACTTGTTATTTTGATGATAATAACTTTTTTTGATGATGAATGTTATGACAATTATTATTTTGATGATGAATAAACTGATGATGATTATGATGATAGAGGTGATAATTATTGTCAATAAACCATAAAAATGTACCTTTTTTCTCAATTATTGTACATATTTATTGTTTTTATCTCATATAGATAAAATGAACCATGTTATTGTTAATTGTTGTTGTTGTTTTTTTTTTAATTGTATGTTTATGTATAATAATAATCAATAAATTTGAGAGTTGATTTGTGTTTATTAATTATTGTAACCAAACTAAGTGACAAACATTCATTTTGGAAAAAAAACTTATTTATCTGTAAAATATTGTTCTGTTCTGTAACAATATCAAACATCTACTCCAAACCCGGTAGAGACCGGACAATAAACGTGTGATATCACGAGTAAATCCTGGTCAAAATAGACCGGGAGAGACCGAGGATTACCGGTAGGAGTACATCCCTCTATAAATAGATTTTCGGAATGTTTAGGTCATCCACTCATCATTCTATATACATGTAAAACAATAACCAACTGTGTACTACAAAATGATAAATAAAAAAACGCCGAAGAGCGCTAATTATTGACGGAAAATGTTATTTCATTTGAAAATGTTTGCATTGCGAAATTCTCCAGTTCGCTATTCATTGTACATATCGGGACATTTCATTTTTAATTAATAATCAAGCACCCTCATACCACTCGGAATGATCGGCTTTTATCATGACTGACTAAAAGGCTTGCCCTTTCACTAAATCTGATTTCATTCCATAAAGGGCGCCGCGCTTCGGCGCGGACGCCAAAAATCGATGATCATTGCAAGGAGGGGGGGGGGCTATAATTATATACTTGATATTTTAATAGACCCCTTAGTTTCTGCGGAATAACAAAAGCATTGTTGTTGTTATAATACAATGTCAATATTGGCAATATTCAAATGACTTCCCTCCACAAAGTCGCCACAACTGCAGGTTTAATGTATTTTGAGTGTAAAATTTGATTGCACATTAAGGGAATGTATAGGTCTGATCTGTTGTATCCAATCTAACTAATACATGTTTATAGTAAGAAATTTATATCGACTTATATTGAAGTGTTCTAATGGGCAATCAACACACATAACAATGGATTTGTAACTTTCGGTTTGGAATAAACAGTTTGTTTAAAATAGCAGTGCTATAATCTGATTTTCACACAATTAAATGCTCAAATGCTCTATCATGTGCATACTAATATAAAGTGATACAACCGCTATAGTATTCCTATCCCAAAGATTTATCCGTGGAAATCATAAAAAGAGATGTTTGTGGTATTTTGATACCACAAGTAAATAATATAATGTGTGCATGGCCACTGTGCTATACAATATTCCTTTTTACATGCGTACTTATTACATTACATGTATTTTAGTATAAATGAGAAGGTAAGTCTAACAACGGATACTTTGTGTTCATCTCTTTAATATTCACATTGGTGCATCATAATCATAAAACAGAACACGTGTATATATAAATGTAAAATAATCATTATCATATTTGAAAGTAAGTAATACATATTAAAAGTTTCAGAAAATTAATATATGGTCTGACTCTTTTATTGAAGGATGTATATAAATAGATATATTTACGATACATATGGTCCGAGTCTCGCAATGTAACATGGCCAGCGATTGGCTGAAAAAAGTGCAGAGGGAAAAACCGTAAGATTCAATTGGATATTCGGTGATTGGATGAAAATGGGGGTATTATTAAGTATGAAAACTAATTTAGAAAATAGCACTATATTGTTTTATGAAGAAAATGAAATATTTCATAAGTCTCCGCGATAATTTGTGACTTGGATATTTGCATTCATAAAAAGTGTATGTCAGTCTTGTGATCAGCAGAAAAAAATCAAAGAAAAGGGGGGTGATCCTCTTTGAAGTCATTTTGCCAAAAATTGGGTTGTCTACCCCTATATAACTGGATCATTTTTATGTGTCAGGCATTTTGTGCCCTACGTAAGAAAAATCACCTCTTAAGCATGAAAACTCAATCTTAAGATAGGATTAGGGACCATTTCTTTTAATGTTAGTCTATGGGACAATCAATGTTAGTGTCTGACCATATGTCGTACATACTTTTATACTGTTCTATCATATTTCAGTCTTTACATATAAACATTTGAACACACGTGCATTATACAAACAGAATCCAATAATTACATTATGTTACAGTTTTTTCACATGCTTTTTATACATCTTTTATGATGAAAGCAGAAGACATGTTGAGATAACTCAATAAAACAATAGGTAATAATAGCATATTCTTCCAAAACAAAATATGCAATTTTTACAATGTATCAATATTGAGCACGTATGTCTCAATCTATTTATAAACAATAATCAAATCATTCTTTTGAAAATAAAATACGAGTATATATAAAAGCAATGAGTGAAATATTGATATAAATGATATGGTCTACTTCGTCGCTATGTTTAAATTAAATCTAAAATGTTTGTAAACATTTTAATATTTCTTCGGTTACTGCGGTCGTTAATTCAGATGAAATAATGTTGTGAATTATATGCCTCGTCCGATTTTGAGTGGAGCACCACACAACCAACGGAATGAACTTCAAAAGGTTTAATTAATCTTTTCACACCAATTTATGTATGAAAATGAATGAAACATGTAGGAGTCGGCGAAAAAAGCTATATTTGTCTATTTTGTGATCATGATTTCTGCAAGCGTCTGCTCCAGTCCTGTAATGAGTTAAAAAAACAACTAAAAAAAGTCTTGTACTTGAATAATAATCTAGATTATATTTTGAAATATTATACTCCTCGAAACATTGAAAATGAAACTTAATCAAGTTCAATAGTGTTACTTCTAGAGTCGGTCCTATCTCTCCTGAGACAATACACAATTCCTGCAGTTACCATGACAACGAAAATGATGATTCCCCCAATAGTCAAGGGTATGAACAACGGAAATGTATCATCAGTATCATCGTAAGCTTCCAATGATGTAGTTGTGTTTGGCTTTTGCACGTCTGTTGAATTGCTCGGGTCAGAGGGCTTTGTTGACATCGGGTTTTCTGTCGTGAGAGGGCTTGTTCTTCTCGTAGAATGTCCATGAATGCCCTCCTCTGTAATACTTATATGGATACTTATAGATGAAGATCTGGTTGGTATACCATCATCTTTTACGACCAACTCCACAACAAAAGTTCCAGTTGATATTATTCTGGCATTTAGTACTACTGCTACAGAGTCCTGGGTGATCTGTTGAATTGCGAACAGGTTGTCACTATTGTTCTTCAACTCAAACATAACATTATCATTATCATTATCATAGGCGGTAACATTTACTATGTTAGACCCCACCTTCACTGCATTTGTCATATTCACATTGTATGATGATGCACTGATATGCGGAGCGTTATTATTTTTCGGACCATATGTTAATATATAGATAATTTCTTTTTCATTCAGATCTTTGTCTTCATTTTCTGATTGCACAAAATCAAACAAATGAAGAAAAAACTTGTCAAAAATATGTGTTGTCTGCCATACATTTTTTTCTAGTAATATAATTCTCCCAGACTGGGTAACGACATTGAGCAAATCTTCACTGGTACTAAGTTGTCTAGTAAATGTATTTTCTATTCGTGCATAGAACCACATAACCTCTTTTACACTGACGGTTAGATTAACTTGTTTGTAAACTTTCATTGATGGATTTGTATATGTTTTCCATTTAATATCGGTCACATTCGCTTTTGAAACTTGTGATACTGAAGAACCATTTGCACTGTCGTATAGCATATCAGGAAAACTATCTTGATCCGGGAAATTATTTACAAGAAAATCATCTAAACCATCGTCCGCATCAGGAAACTGTATCCTAACTAAATGAACAAGATCATGGTATTCTAATCTATCAATCAATGACAATTGCGGATCTCCAAGAGGATTTATATTTTCAAAAGTAGCACTGTAGTTAAAGAATTTTCCCATAAGTGATGACGTCATGAGCCATCTTGCAGTTTTAGTCTCATGAGAGTGAATGTCACCAAAGTCGACAGTAAGAGATGGCGTTATGGCCTGATTTTCGAGCTGAGCTGCAATTATTTTAAATGACACCAGAAGACCTTTCTCGTTCTCAATAATTTCTGGTTGCCCAGAAGTTAATTTTAAGGCTTTTGCTACACCGTATCCCGCATTCATAACCATAACAGCGAGTGTAAATGGGACAATCGGCTCAATTTCTGGTGTGAGAGCGTCATCTCCACGTACATACTTTTCATGGAAGTAATGAACGACAAGACTTGGATTCGGTGAAACAGTTATTGTGTCAGGAAGAAGAGACACAGAAAGTTCAGTCCCATCTACAGAATACGATAACTGACCACCAATGTCGTACTCCGTGTCATCCTCGGGGGCAGCGGTACTGTACGGAATGATTAACCATTCGACAGAGCCAGACAAACCAAGTCCTAGCCTTCCTTCTCCATCAATGCCGCTTATTCCAACCAAGGTTAATTTACCTATAATAAAAATATATTTCGTACATGTACGATAAAATAGCAGAACATATTTCGAATATAATTTATTCAACTTATTCAGTAGTAAATAGCCAGCTGAATTAAAGTACAAATCTTGCCATGATCTACATTTTGTGTCTTAAAACTTTTAATTAGAACCTTTTTTCAAATTATTATTTCCTGTATTCGTCACATTACGTCATCTTCTTTATTAATCTCAAACAGGGCATTCAATTACATTAGGTTATCGCATGTAATTTGCTGTTGATATTTTGTCACTATTACTATTTTTTGATAAAGAAGAATAAAGTACTATGGGCCTTTATAATATAGGCAATGATTTGGTCGGAAACGACGGCTGCTAAACAAATAAGTATATAGGAATAGAGTGAATTGTAGGCGATAAAGTTTCATAAAAAGACCATGATCCATACGTAGAATGTATATTATTAAGATAGGCAAACTATTTTTGAAATTTCAATTATTAATTTGTTATCATGAATAATTGAATGCATTGTTTAATTGGAATATTTGGGATAAACATAAAATAATCAGTAACATAAAATGTTTGGTGCAATTTTGCGTGTTGCTTTGCAAAGTCTTCATTGGTGTAAAGGATATGCATGTTCATTTAAAAGAAAATAATTTCGTGAAATAATGAATGAACCGAAACATCCTTCTGGTATAAATTTTATCTTTGTAGTGAAGCCTTAAAAGAAAATTTAATTCACAGGCCAGTAGATAATGAGAAACTGTCCGGACAATATTTTGTTTCTACATGTGGCTACGCATGTGGCTACTGTAGTGTTCTCTCCACTGCAATGTTCCTTTTAGCCCACTCAAATATTTTAATTACTGAATGAACAGCATTCAATTTGTTTCACAGATATTAATCGACCTATTTGATTATTTTTGAGTTATTGATTATTTCTTTGAGTTACTTTGATCTTTTTAACCCTTTAAGTAATCTCTTTTTACCCCATAATCAATGTCCCCCCACAAATACAGTCTTTACGTATATAACACGGACATTTATAAAATAATGTAACCGGAGTGCATGCGAACAGACAAAAGGACAATGAATCGATGATAGAGCATGAAATATTGTATATAAGTTAAATAAGTTATAATGATTTTATAAAGCATTCAAGTTCACAAAATATGAATGAATATCGTAGACCATGAAAAACTTGTGACGTATTTTGAATGTTAATAATTAATTTTGATTTAATTCTTAGTACTGCATTATAAAAATCTGGAAAAGGGCCATCGCTATGAAGAAGAAAAATTGCAGACTCGGTTTGAGTTTGTACTTGGGGATAATGAAAAAAATGCATTTTCCCTCACGCCCCCTAGCACCAGCTCAATTTTCATCACTTAATGCACTTGAATCAATGATCCCGAAGGACCAAAAATATATCAACACTGAACTAAAGTACTGCCACACGGCGCTTGATACCACTTGCTGTTGTGAAATATCTGGAAAAAGAGTGACCTTTCAGAAGCATTAAAATTAACAGAATTACATGAAAATTGTGGACTCAGTTAGACTGAGGCTGTACATTGGAAGGATAAAAAAGCTTCATTTAAAGTACTGATAATACTGTCGCTTTTTTGAACATTTGAAATATAAACGGCAAAATGTCCTATTCCTTAGTGCCCGATAGTTAATTTTTGCAAAGCAGAACAGGAAAAAAAATTGTAAAAGTGCTTGGTACATTTTTATCTGACTTTAATGGTTTACAAATATTTACAATGTTTGAAGTGTATACCTTTGATATGATATAGAAAAGTTCAGTATTCTAGATAAAAAGGGAAATTATTTAGCTAAATGATTGTCAGGAATATCTGTTCCTTATAAATGCATTTACAATTACATTTAGTAAATTAAAAATTACTCCAAGTTGAAAGTGAATATCTGTGATACTGATAGTCAATGAGAAATTGACAAAACAATTTAATTAAAAAGTAAATAACCTTACTAACATGAATATCAGTTTATATGTTGCCATAATTCGATAAGGACCATGTATACTAAATAAATAATGAAAAATGTAAAACGCCAAAGTAAAAATTGAGTCTAACTTTTCAAAAAATAATTTTAGGATTATCTGCCCTTTTGAGATGACGTCTTTAATACTTATTGACATGTATACCGAACATTGAAGTGCACGGCTTGTTAATGCCAATTCCCGACAACATTGACCTGAACAAAAAGGTAAATCAACGCCGACGCCAGTGAGAGTTTCGTGAATATTGCTTCACTTCTTTGTCCATTTTTATCTTCGAAAAGTGGAGCTAATGGAAATCAATGAAAATGAAAATTACCAATAGAAAACTTTTCGTTCTGGAGTTCTTCTGACCCAAACGTTTGTATTATTTTAATTTCAACTTTAATATTCTCAAGGTCAAATTTCTCTCCATTTTCTATTTCTAATTTTGCCTTGAATGCGTCTCTTATAAGAACGAGTTCTTGCTCAATCCTTATCCGAACTCTTGCACAAACACCTTCTTTCTTTCTAGCTTCACTGCTGCTCTGTTAAATTAAAGTTCACATTTTTTAAATAAATCAATTTTCCCTTTGCCTTCACACAAAATAAAATCAAATAAATTAAGTTACATTATGATTTAACAATTCTAGCCATTTTTCAAAAGCCATTGTATGCATACAAATGTGTGCATATTTTCTATTCTATCACAGTAATACAACCCCCAAGTTCATGCTATCTTTATGAAGTGTTTCACGCTACGACAATAAATGTGTTTTATGCTGAGAAATCTTTTAAACTATTTAAATGTAGCACTTAAAAAGACTTTTCAAAAGTTACGTTTTTATACATAACTCATACAAGTAATAATGAAATATTTATAAGTAAAAAGATATCACACTCAAACTACAGGAGAAAATGTTACCTCTTGTTTCTTTGCTTCATGATAGCTCTTCACCAACTGTCCATATTCATCAAAAATGGAGTCATATCCAAGAGCTTTAGATTTATCATTATCGTTATGAAATTGATCAATACCGGCTTGTAAACGTTTAAAGCTGATCACTTGACCACTGTCCTCGAGTTGTGACAAAGTCCCGTTTTCCCAAGCAGCCACTGTATTAATGCATTACAAATAGAATTTTCAAAAAAGGTGTGTAATGCAATTGTGGTTCAAATTATTTTTAGCAATGATTGATGCAAGCTTTGATAAGGAAAAGCTTTGTTCTCAAAATAATTGAAATTCCTGAAATAACTAGAACTATCACTAAATGTGATTAATACCCCCGACAAGACTGCTTCAGAGGATGAGGATGTTACTAGTAACAGAATACCTTGTAAAAGAATTGAGGTTGTGGGCAATTAAAGATAGTTGTGGTTCTTGTATGTTGCATTTCCTTTCAATGTGGTTGGTCATTGATGAAGTTTAATTAAATTACTCTGAAATAAGTCCAGAAAGACAAAGAAAAGGGCAATAACTCTATGAATACTGAAGATGGAGTTATAGTTTTTGTGCACTGCACTTCCACTTATTGTGCTTGACCGTTGTATGAAGTTGTTTTGAATTCCAACCAGTACGCTTTAAGTTATGCTCCGGACAGGGAAAAGTATCAAAGGGCAGTAACTCTGTATTTTGTCAAAATTGAGTTATGGCTGTTGTGCACTGCACTTCCTTTTTAATGTCATTGACAACTGTATGAAGTTGTATTGAATTCCAAACAGTAGTTTTCAAGTTATGCTCTGGACAAGGAAAAGTAACAAAGGGCAATAACTCTGTAATTAGTTAAGATGGAGTTATGGTTCTTGCGCACTGCACTTCCTCTCAATGTGCTTGACCATTGTATGAAGTTATATTGAATTCCAACCATTAGTTTTCAAGTTATGCTCCGGACAAAAAAAAGCAATGGAATAGTAGCAAAGGGCAATAACTCTGTAATGAGTCAATATGGAGTTATGGTTCTTGTGCACTGCACTTCCCCTTATTGTGCTTGGCCATTGTATGAAGTTGTTTTGAATTCCAACAAGTAGATTTCAAGTAATTCTCTGGACAAGGAAAAGTAACAAAGGGCAGTAACTCTGTAATAAGTCAAAATGGAGTTATGGTTCTTATGCCCTGCACTTTATCTCAATGTGCTTGACCATTGTATGAAGTTATAATGAATTCGAACAATTAGTCTTCAAGTTATCGTTCGGACAAAAGAAAGAAATGGAAAAGTAACAAAGGGCAATAACTCTGTAATTACTTTAGATAGAGTTATGGTTCTTGTGCACTGCACTTTCCCTTATTGTGTTTGACAATTGTATGAAGTTGTTTTGAATTCCAACCAGTAGTTTTCAAGTTATGCCCCGGAATAGGAAAAGTAACAAAGGGCAATAACTCTGTAACTATTTCAGATAGAGTTATGGTTCTTGTGCACTGCACTTTCCCTTATTGTGTTTGACAATTGTATGAAGTTGTTTTGAATTCCAACCAGTAGTTTTCAAGTTATGCCCCGGAATAGGAAAAGTAACAAAGGGCAATAACTCTGTAATTAGTCAAGATGGAGTTATGGTTCTTATGCACTGCACTTCCTCTTAATATGCTTGACCTTTGTATATAGTTATATTGAATTCCAACCATTAGTCTTCAAGTTATGGTCCGGACAAAATAAAGCAATGGAAAAGTAACAAAGGGCTTATTGCCTGTAACTACTTTAGATAGAGTTATGGTTCTTGTGCACTGCACTTTCCCTTATTGTGTTTGACAATTGTATGAAGTTGTTTTCAATTCCAACAAGTAGATTTCAAGTTATGCACAGACAAGGAAAAGTAACAAAGGGCAATAACTCAGTAATTAGTCAAGATAGAGTTATGGTTATTGTGCACTGCACTTCCTCTGAATGTGTATGTAGTTATATTGAATCCCAACCATTAGTCTTCAAGTTATGCTCCGGACAAGAAAAATGCAACGGACGTCTGGACCGACCGACCACCGGGTGACTCCTATATACCCCCAAACTTTGTTTTTGGGGGTATAATTACACATATCAATTGTGAAACATATAAGAATAACAAGTGACAAGTGTTTTAACAAAACTTTTAGCACACATAAGTATTCCTATATGACTTGTATATGAGAAAATGCCAAACCGGTAATTCCCCAATCCTAAATCACAATAAGCTGATTCAATACAGTACTTGCTATACATAATGTACATTTTGAGAAATGCATATTATACAAATAATAAGTATACAATACAAAGGACGGTAACTCCTAAATAGTCGATAGAGAGCTATTGTTATTCAGGAGATATATTTAAATCTATACATATTTATATTATGCCCTGCAAAAAATACTTACAAGAATATATTTGAAAGGGCAAAACCTTTTGGATACACCCTTTAAGAAAAATCATCTTCCCCTTGAGTAGTTTTTCATTTTTTCACAATGAGATGAAACCACACATGAAGTTTAAGATTGTAAATTAAATAAATTTTATCCTCCAGTTAATTAGTGATTGGCAGAGAGAGAATGCCGGACATAATAAGATAATCAGTGCAAATTTTATATCGGATTGATTGGAATGCTTTATCTCACTGTATGCGATTTCGTGAATTTCATGCAATTACTGTCTACTAGTATTATATACGAATCGAAGTGTTAGAAGCAGTTTCCTTTAATTAAATAAATAGACTTTATTTAAGGGAAATAATTATCATACCTGTGTTGTTAAAGCGTTGAATGAATCTGCTCACATTGCTTTTCTTTTCCACTTCGGAGAGGTTATCTATGATAGCAGAATACTCTGTTTCTGATATCATTGCTCCAAGCTGTGTATCATCAGCAGCACCTCTTTTAAATTCGGTATACCATGTATCTTCTAATGTTCTTCAAAATAAATAAAACGTTTTATTTCGTATATTAATTTTTTTATTTTTTTATTTCTTAGATCAGTTAATTATAATTTGTAAAATTATCAGCACTTGGAAACAAAACATTTGATAATCATCATTAACAAACAAGAAATATAAATTTAGTTATCTCACTTCTCAAATAACTGTTGTATGAAGTATAACTTAAACGTTTTTGATTTTAAATATAAAATAATATTGTTGGTAAATTATCGAAAATGAATTCAGTTCTTATTCAGTTCTATTTTAAACCTTTACGTATTGGATCTATTTAGTTAAAAAAAATCTAAAACAACCAATTATTACTTTGATGTTATAAAGCTGGAAGTAAGTCTACATACATGTATCTCGTTCCAAAAATTTCTTGGCCCATATTAAGGAAATTTATTATCGGAGCAGACGACTTTATTAAAGCAGTTAATATATCGGAATTGATCTCCCGTCGTTTACGTCCACTGAAGCATTTCTCATTTACGTCCATTACGCATCTAAATATATCATTCATAACAAATAAATGTTAAAAACATAAAATGTAATTACAATCTATCTCAGTGCAAAACAAATACAATTCAAATAATGTAATTTCAAAGGTTTAACTACTGTAACATTACATTGTATTCTTTTGGTAGCATAAGTAGTAAGGCCTAGAGCTAATTTTTATATTTTCTCTATCCTTTATTCACTCGTTTAAGGAAGGATAGGAATATAAAGGAAATATTCTGCTATATAAATTATAAAATTAAAAAAATATATATATACAGACAATAATTACAGGAATATGAAAACGTACATTAATAATATGTCGACACTCAAATGCCAACACTCAAATACCAAAAAGTGTACGATTGAAACAGAAAGCGAAATTATCTTTTTAACTTTATACCTGGCTGCAGTATATAAGTTGCCAATCAATGGGTTGATTCCTGAAACAATACATCCCATAACTATGTCCAACACACCTATTACAGTATCCTTGGTATCTGACCTAGACTAAGGGAAAATAACTACATGAAAGTTCTCCTTTATACCAGTCTGGTTTAGTGACTTGTGCAACACAATGAATTATGGTACTAATATAAAGTATTAACATTTTACTGTTGTTTTCCACATATAACCACATATAACCGGAATGTCCTTTCTTCAATAATTTGCAAAATAATAATGTATTGATTGTTTCAATGAAATTAAAATCTACTGTCAATACATTTTATAAGCTATTACTTTATTTCAAAAGAATGAAATTTCGAGCATACGGAAAAAATGGCTAACCTTAAGACAATCTAAGGAGTATCATATTAAGAATGCTTGATTATCTTTAATGTATGAAAACTGAAGACAATAACTGCACATGGTCTTCTACCGCCACATGTATACAAACTGATCGGCTTCAATTAATAAACTGTCTTCCCAACTGTATATGAAGACTAATAGAATATATTCTGGGATAATATAAAATTTTAGGAAAATTCCGAACGTGGCCAACCCGAAGGCGATCGGTTCCGATCGGACCCTTGACGAGTTCCCGATTGAACAAGATTCCCGATGGAACAGATTGCCAGAGGGAGAAAAAAAATATATCAAACTACTTACATGACTTCGAGAAAACCAATTCTTGCTAGCTATAGCGCACCCAGCTCCAGGAAGAAATGATAACGCGCAACTTTCAACCAATGTTGATAAACAATCACATGTAAGCGTAGAAGTTCCGGCATACCCAACAAATATCAAAGAACCATATACAAGCCCACCAGTAAAAAATATACGCCCACATGAAGGTTCTGAGTTACCACGTGTTAGCCGGACGAGAGCAGATCGTGTCTGTCTGCCTGAGCATTGATAATCGTAAATCAATAATATATCAATACAAAAAGATCTTGAAGATCGCTCTTCTCTTTGATTACGCATAGTTTTGACAGGAACAACAACAGATGTATTCGCAGCTAGAATTCCGATCATTTTAACCATCTGTAATAAATGATAAAAGAACAATATCAAGAATACTTCATTTCAAATCAATCTTTTATCTGCGCTTTTTCTTCACACAATTTCGAAAGGTCAATTCATATTCAGTTATCATTCATTTCATGACAAGTGCACATGACTTTGTACATGAACAAGAGGAAAATATATATAATAGAACATGAATGATTAAAAGCAGATTTAATGTATATATATCTACTATGCTAATATTTGAATAAACTTACCGAAGTGAAAGTTAGATACGGATGAGACGTTGGAAACGCGAATCTAACATTGTTTGCTTGAATCAGACCATGATTTGTAATAGTAAATTCGATTTCACTCGTTTCCATATGCTCCAGAGGTAACGTGTCAATATGAGATGGCTGTACTGTAACAACGGGTATTGGAACCTTGATATTTAAATAAGAAAAAAAAAACAAATATCATTTACATTTACAAAACCGTCAAATTTTGCTTATGTTTAATTGTTTCCATGCTGAGTTCGGGATATAAATAATCATATTTTATGCTACTTATTATCCTTAATTTACAACATAACTATCAGAATCGTAACACAGAATTCAATACACTGAATAAAAACAACAGTGGACATTTCTTTATTATTTCAGATCTATTAAATTCATAAGATATTTACGTATGTTTCGAATGTCGATTCCAAAGCAATGGTGTAAACATCTTTAAAAGTTGTTGCTTCAACTGTCCAAGTGTATTTAACAGCAATGCGTGGCAGAAATATTTCATGGTGTGATTCACTGAGAGAGATAAGAATAACAGCTCCGTATGACGAATGATTTTCTGCCTCAACAAATATCGTGTACTGGTCTTCGTAAACATTCTCAAATATTACAACACCTGAAAAATTATTTTGACAACCATTTAGATGCGCTGCTAAGCCTTATTTACCTAAACTGTATTACCTCAAAAAAGTGAAGATCTATGAGGAAAAAAGCTTTCAAAACTCAGTAACGCTGACCTTTATCCATTTAACGATCTAATAAAAAACACTGTTAGACAGGTATATTCATGTATTTGTAAAAAATGAAGATGTCGTAAGGAAATCGTAAATAGCGGAATGTAAAAAACGGAGGGCCTAACTTGCAGTTAAGTGTTGCCATAGAAAATTTGCTCTAGACATGACAATTAATATTTCTATAAGTTTTCTTGATTAAAAATATTGCAAGTATTAAAAAGATCTCTCTTTGTCAGTTTTTTTGTTGCCCTGAAACACATGTATGCTGATAGCTTATATAATACAAATCGATGGTACAGAAAAATAGATAAATGTGATAACAACGATAAAACAAGCAATTATCATAGTGTTGCAAGCAATCCATAAGTCCCCTACCGGTTAGAACCCCAGCAACATTCTGAAGGGCCATTGGCTATTCACTTATGTTTCTATTTTAAGTAAATTTGTTGAAAAAGTTCTTTAAAAGTGATCACTAGAAACAGTTTTATGTACAGACAGACAGACGGACTGAAGGACACTCTAAAGTTATTTTTTTAAGCATCCCTGTTATCAAAATATAACATTTTTAAAAGCAAAATTCTTAAAAAGAAGATAACTCTTAAAATAAAGATGAGAGACGTCATACTTGATTTGAGTGTAACAAGGAACAATTAGTAATGAAGGTATTGATAATGAATGTTTATTTTGAATTTGAAGTAAAAGAGAACGAATAAGAAAAATTCAAAATTAAAGGAGGAGATAATTCTGGAAATATGGATGCTAGATTTATAAACCTTGTCATATTATTATGATGTGGGAGTTTAAAGAAAATTTTATAATGACTGAAGCAGTTGGAGTAAAAATTACCAATTTCTCGAAAAAAAAAGTCCAAGTTCATTTAACTTTCTCACAAATGTTAAGTGATAATAAGAAACATATATATGAAGTTTGAAGTAGATACATGAAAAAAAAGTATAAAAACAAACAATATTTTTTTCATGAAAATTTTAAGTTCAAGGAAGGAAATTCTGATAAATTTTGTGCTAGAGTTGTAAACCTTGTCACATATGATGTGGTTGATGACTAGAAACTTATATTTAAAGTTTGAAGAAAATACCTTAAGAAATAAAGAACTTATAGTGAAAAAACGTGAAAACTAGAATCAGAAATCATGAAATTCAGTCTATTTGTTGCCATAGAAACCATAATTTTCAACATAGAAAGAAAAGAAAAGAATGTGCATTATCTCCAGACTGCTATCTACCCATATTTCAAGTTTCATAAAAATATTTTCAGTACTTTTTGCGTTATCACTGGATCCAGGTTATGTGTATAATTTGCCATATTTTCAATCTATTTGTTGCCATAGCAACCAGAATTTTTAACATAGGAAGAAAAGAAAAAGACGTGCATAATCTCCATACTGCCATCTATCCATATATCAAGTTTCATAAAAATATTCTCAGTACTTTTTGCGTTATCGCGGGATCCAGTTTTGTGGACGGACGGACGGACGTTCTCACAGGACAGTAATTATGTGGCTACTCTATTGTTCTCTCTATTGTTCTTTTTAGCCACACAAAAGAAAATAGCCATATAAAAGCATTACGGAATGAATGACATCAAAGAGACAGAACAGTTACCTATTGTCCCTCTAGCCACATAAAAACTGTTCTGTGAGTGCGGACAGACGGACGGAGGGTAAACCTACTGTCCCCTCTGGTAAACCGGTAGGGGACTAATAATAGCTGTTTTTACAGTATTAACGAATGCTTACAACTGTCTGCTTACTTTTTGTTTTGAATGCGAAAATATAATCAGGCATTCAATAACTTGTTTTATCCACACATTCAATGCATTTTATACTGTAAATGTTGCATTAAAGTGATACGAAAAATGGTAATCCTTTAATTATTGTTTTAACAAATTAGCATTGTCACAATAAAATGTAAATGCTTAATCAGCTCGGATTATCATACAATTCAAAACGAAAATATTTACCAGTTTCATTTTCAGTTGTTTTTATTTCCAAAAATTCTCGTCTAGGATTTGAAAGTGTTATTGTTGCGTTTGTTACAAGAGGAGATCCGATCGCAAAATAAGTGTATTCATCTTTCACAGTAAATGTAACATTCGTTGTCTCCGTAGATGATATATAAATTGTGAAGGGCAGTCGACTTGAAGTTGATAAAGAATTAATATAAATATTTCCTGAAAGCTCTCCTAATGAGTCATTTCCTCCAATAACAATGGCAATAGATAACAGCGCCGTGTCTTTTGATAAAATATCTGTATAATTTGAATCTGTTAACTTGTGTTTCTCCAACGTGAAAGACACAAGAGAAAATCTGGAATCCGTTGGAAGACTTACAGATACATTTCTTGCAGAAACTTCTCCTATATTTGTAATATTAATATCTACTATCTTTATTGAACCTGGCATGACATCTACACGAATCAGATTTGGTTCTAATACGAGGATAGGTTTTTTGATATTAAGTTTGATGTTTACTCTCATGCTAGTGTAAGAACCTTGACTTGATGTGAATAAAATATACATATATCCATGGAAAGGTTTTGCATCCGCAATTACCAAATCAAAGGAGATACTGTCATTCATATTGAACTTCTGTATAGAAAATGATGTATTAATGGAATCTCCAGATTTCCTGACGAATGTTCCAGGAGGCCCATCAACCTAATATTACAGATATATTATTTAATGAGCATAATTAAATGATTTCTACAAATATGTTCCAACAAAAACGACATGAAATAAGGAAGAAACACAGATGAATGATACTTTTACCTGAACAGTTGTGTTTTAAACATACACTGGAAAGGTTTGAAACTTTTCAACTCTATTCTAAATAAAAATGTCAGTTTATAAATGTCTTTAAACTGTTGGTTATAAAACCTCATCATTATGATGAGATAATAATTTACATGTTTGTTAATCTATCAATTTAAATGTCTTACCTCCCCTTCAATGCCAGTTATAGAAGTGGTACCAACATTTACCAATGTTGATATCTTATTTATTGATACAAAAGTTTCATCAGGGAATATTATTTCATCAACAACGACTTCAAATGGATTACATATCATACCGAGTACGGACCAAGTGATATTGAATGTCAATGCCTCAAACGGGTTCCCGGGATGTCTAGCACTCTGTCAATAAAAAGGCATATATGTTGATGAAACGCGAACATATATGATCACAATCAAAACTTACATCTCAAAATTTCTTATATACCAAAAGATTCACATATGAGCTGTAATTAAAGTATAGATCCTTTAATGGTAGTTTTATGTAATATTTCTTATAATGCGATTCAAACATTGTGCGAGTTGAAACTATATGTATGATTCGTTATATTTAAAAAGTTTTACCACTGAAAATATTCCGGCATCGTCTGGTCTTGGGTTATAAATAGCAGTAAATGTACTCGGAAATAACTCATCTGATTCCACATTTATAGATGTTTCATGTTTTGTTCTTTGACTAAATACGCTAAAAATCGAAGGAAAGTTAATGGTCAGATGTAAATACATATCTCTTCATAATAAACTCGATACTTGAAAAAGAAAGAAATATAAAAAACCAGCCGAACGAATAAAATTATGTAGGATCAATGAAAAACTGTAATACATGTATTTTAAGAATAGATAGATGTTTGATCGGATTTACAACAATTTATTTCTAGTAAATATATCGTTTCTTTTCTCAAATTGTCACAAAAATTAACCAAAAAGACGTCAATACTATATCCAACATATTACATATCCATATACATGTATTACATTTTTCTATTTAATCATATTAATAATGCGACAAATAGCAGACTTACATAACTTCAACTGGAACCTTTCGGGGTGTATTCTGCTGTCCAAACTGAACCATACCAAAAATCTTAACTGATCGAGGAAACGGCAAAATTCTTTCACTTGGTTCTATACGTTCTACAGACACTGTGTACGAAAACACTACCATAATAGACCATCTTGCAGACACTTCACTTATCATATTGGATGCTCTAACTTCTACAATATATGGTTGGGATTTTGCAACGGTGATTGCCCATTGCACTAGGCCTGTCTCCTCATCTACTGTCATTCCATTGGGACCACGGTAAAGATACCAACGTACTGGAAGGTCCCCCTTAACAAAAAAAGTTAGTATACATTTTAGATGATCACAACAAAGCAAGCAATGAAATATTCTTTAATGCAGTAATATTCAAAAATATATTAATGATGTAGGCCTACATGTCGCATAGTTCCAGTATGATTTTATTATTGTATTTGTTTACATTTGCTATCAGACTCTGACATTAGATAGAAAGTTTTGTAATGTTTAGAATGAAACAAAATAATGTGTACGAAGGTTTAAAAAAGACACGTGAGGTTAATGAAAATTTGGTTTATACAGAATTTACTTTAGATCGATTGTGTAGGAAGCTTATAGACTAACTTTAAAATCTGTTCCTGGTACTAAGCAGTACTGAGCAATAAATGTAAAACTTTTTGCTCACAGAAACAATGACTTGCCCCTGAAGGGGTTTGAACCTACGCTGCTGCAATCCTTAAATTGCTAGTCCAATGCGTTAACCGCTCGGCTATGACGCCACTCCTAATGACATTTTATAATGAAATAGTATTTATATTATAACAATGTCTTATTGTACCCACCTGTTTTAATTTAAGTTGCTGTGTGTAACTGTCTGATTCGTTCACAGTTTGTACATCCACAACGTCTACTAGAATCAGTGGTAGTATCTTCAAAGTACAGTTATCTCCCTTCCATGGCAAATAGCACGAACATGAATCGAACAAACAATAGCCACGTGAAGGAGTCATGTTACGACCACAGGACTCAGAGGGACAAGTTGAATAGTAATAAAATGTTAGCTGAAATTTCAAAAAAAAAAATCTGTTACAAACAAAGGCTCATACTTATTTGTATAGTTTGATAATCGTTTTATTTTGAGTCCTTAAACCGTATCTTGCATTAATGTAATCAGTATTAAATCTGTTGCCATGTTCTACATGTAGAATAAACAGTTATACTTTTCTTAATAAGAAACGAACTATTTTTAATGTTTTTTTAAAGGTTTATTTTCGTTTAATGGTGCACATTATATGTGTTTGTGTATTTTTGATGATTAACTAAAAAGATAAACACATAATTAAAGATAGGACACATATTAAAACTCACTTTATCATTTGTAAATTCAGTCTCATCTGTAGATATTTCAACAATCACCTGCCCTCTCGATTGCTGTGGCGCAGTACATACCACGTGATTCTTTGTTAACCATTTCCCGTCCGTTTCTATACTTCCGAAACGACATTTGTAAGTACCGTTAACAGTTTCTTGGAAGTTATGTCCCCATATATGCACTGCATATCCACCCTTTTCTGGTCCACTGCTGGGGATAATTTCCAAAACTTTGACTAAAGGTAAACAGTCTGGTCCATAGAAGGTATCATTACACCGATCGCATAAGTAGCCGGCCCAATTATTTCCCACGCATTCACATAACCCTAAATTATAAAAATGAATTGAAGATAAAATATGTAGTACATATTGCATTCCCGTATTACGAAACAAAGATGCACAACGTCTTTGACTTCAAAGCACTTGCCCTAAACCACTGTGGGTAATTTTCTTTCATGTGAGCTATCCAGCAATTAGTTGTTGCTTTGCTTAAAAAAATTATGTCAGGATGTTTTCATAAGTGTTTTATTCTTTTCTTGTGTTGTAAGTACAGTAATAATTCAGCAGTCTTATAAACACCTACATTGTGTCTCTCACGGACACTAACAATAACTTAAGCCAGAAAACAAGCACGGTACATATGCAATATACAAATTTCTTTAATAAACTGGTACTTGATTATAGGTCAACTTTTGAAGGCAAGTATCAAATTAGTCACCGTGTTCTAAGAAAAACCCGAAAAAAATAATATCGATAAAACCCGTATCCTGCCATTTGTCATTTTGGGTTTTCAATTTAAGATGGTACGTCGATTTCCTTAAATTGCCGAGCCAACATTATTCCCCGGGACGTTTTAAAAGTTTAATCAGAAATTAATCCTGCGTTAACACCGGATTGATAAAATAAAAATCATAGTAATGAAACAATTTTTGCACAGTTGACTATTCCTACCATAAAGTATTCTATTACTGTTATGACATATACCTGTCTGAGAACTGCACGATCCATGTTGGCATTCAGGACACGGTTCACATGAAGGTCCACCGTGATGAGGCTCACAAGTGTTACAGTCACTTCCAGTAAACCTTAGTGCACAAACGCATATATTCGGCTCGACACAAAATCCATGACCGCTACAGTTATTCACCTGACTGAAATTGTTAAATGCGTCATTTCCATTAAATTGCAGAATAGTGTCTAATTAAAACTGCAAGGGATCATCGTGTCTATCAACATCGGGAAAACAGGAAAATATGAACTGGTTAAATGACCTTTTCAAATGATGCATGACATACAACCGTTTACAAAAAGACCAGTATCTTACAATGTTGCTGGTAAAGGAAACATCGGAAATATTTTGAAACCTTGTTTAAACTACTACCTTTATTTGCATAAAAATGTAAACCGTAAATTGAAAATTGTGTATACAAACCCTTTGTAAAGATATCAAAAAAAAGTAATCATGGTTAAATATAGGATACAATGATCAAAAAAGGTCAATGAAAAGTACCTTAAAATTTAGACAGCCAAGTAAATGGTGCAAATGAAGTTATTTTTAACAAAGTTGCTATAGAATTAACTGGTTAAACAAAAATGTTTCACAAAGAAAAAATAGCATATGTAATTATCAGTTTAAGGTATCAAGAGTATGTTAACATATACAAACATTCAACACTGTTTCTAGTTTTATGATGTGTTGAAAATATAAAAAGGTGACTTTAAAACTTCATTCAAAATTTACCTGCATGCCGCGGAAATGCATCGATTTCCATACCATCCATCATAACATGAACATGTGTTTGGTCCTGCACAGTCGCCGTTTCCATAACAATTGTTTACGTCACCACAATCAAAACTTTGGCAAGAGTTTCCTTTCCAGCCTTAAAACAGGACAAATTGTATTTAATATTAGAAAGTCAATGGTTTTCAGGATCATTGATTGTAAAATGATTAGTGGTGAAAATTGAACACCACATAAGCTCATGTTAGATGCGTGAGGCAATTTGCGTGTTTTACTATCTATTTAAAACAGACCCAATCAACTCGAGGCAGCAATTTCAAGTAAATACATCAGAAAATATCGATATGGAATATGTTACACAAATGCCTACCAGAAATGCATCGACAATTATCTGGACCTATACATTCTCCATGTGAACTACAATTGTTAACGTTTCTGCAGTTGAAAGAACCTGTCAGTAAAATAGGTTCGATTTCAAATCTTATCAACTCGGGTATGCGCCTTTGGTCTAATATCCTACTCAGCACGTGACTAATATCTGAAGTACCCCACCAATTTTTCGTTACATTTACAGTACTTTTTCCTGTAATGAATAACATAAACGCAACATTAACCTGTTACAAACGGTTTTAAAACTCGATAAATATATAATTTATAAGCCTTTTTAACTTGAGAAACTATTTGAAATGCATTTTCTATTTGAGTATCACAGGACTGAATTAATGTAAAGCACGTTAGAAACAAGTTACCGAATATGACTCAAATGGTTGTGTTGTTAAATTTATATCTTATCAAAGCGAACATGAACCTAGAACCATTCGGAACATAACTTACTTAATTTTCTTGGTGGACATCGTTTTATCGTTTTAACATATCGATTTTAAGCAACTGCATATTTCATTTTGAGATAAAGAGCTTTTCTGGCATTATATTATTGCATCAATAAATGAATTGGTACTGTAATATTAGCTAACAAAAATCACTTACCTTCCAATGATGTTATAACATCAAATATTGAGTCAGCATTATCTAATGCATTTTGAGATATATTGAAATATCTGCTGTCCACTTTGATAACACCATCACTACCCTTGTTATTTCTAACTATGTTATGTATAAACATGCTTTGTAAAGCAACATCTGCACCGTCTTGCATATGTATAATACATTTTGCGCTTAAGTTTTCAAAACGATTGGATGATATATCAATCAATCTATTTTGATCAAATGTTGAAGTGCCATTTGCAAGCACGGTCATGAAACATTCGCTGCTACCTAAGCACATGGCATTGTTCAATTCATTGTCACGAAATGACGTCATTACATGGTTCCATGTCTTTATATTTATACCACATACGTCTTGAAATGTATTTAGTTCAACTAGAATCTTCCGGTTGGTATTGTTCATTTCCTGTGTTCTTTCTTCGAATTTCACATGAAGAGCTTTGGAAGAAATCCTATTAAAAATATTTCTTATAATACTTACACTACTGTCTGTGTCATAAATTTGAGAAGCCACATAAATACCAACAGTGCAGTTTGATATTGAACAAGATCGTACTTCTAGTGAGCCAAACAACATATCGGTTTTTATACCAACTGATGTGTCACGAATATCCGCGTTCGCAATGACAACCGCACCAGCACCTTTCTTGTGTATACCAACATCACCACATGATTGAAGAGTAGTACCACCAAAGTCGAGAAAAGTACTTGTTCTTGTTTCAGTCAGAGTAATGCAGCTTGTCATACAGTTAGAAATTTGAGTTCTTTTTATGTCAACAGTTGGGGTGTATATAACAATACCATAAAGCATGTTTTTGATTCTTGCATCACTAATCACTACTCTTCCTGTCCCTATATTGAATGATAAAAGATAAGTTTTCTGATAACACATATCATACGTACATAATTTTGAAATGCAAGTAAACCATCAATGTTATATGTTAGCGGCACTGAGTAAGAATTCATAAAGTGAATGTTCAGTGTCAGTGAAAATGATTATCTATTCATTTGCCCATTTTAACAAAAGTTACTTTACTATTTTTATTACTGCTAACTTACCGTTAGAAGATGTAGTGTTTACAACGATTCCATGCCATGGAAAGGTCTCTTCAAAGCTATCTAATACTGTTTCAATATCTTGTCCATTTATTGTTAAAGTGCCTGTAATTATTTATCATGTATTGGTTAAAATGATGTGTAATGTAGATGTACATGTTCACATGAAAATATATACATGTACATATTAAGTACCTTTTGGAGTGAAAATGACATAGAATGACAGTCATATAATACAATGGCATGACAAACATTTATTGTTAACATTCATTTCATTCAATTCAAAGAAAAAATGTAGAAATTAAAATGCAAATAAATGTTGTATTCTTTGGTTATAAACTCTCTTATATGAAACAAATAAATACAATAAATCGATAAATGTTATAAGTCATCGTTTGTACTCCGTAATGTCGTTTGCTAAGTCAATTGGTCAATTAAAATTTACCTTTTTGAATATTCACATTTATAGATAATAAAAGGGAAGTGTTTATACCTTGAACGAAGATCCCTCTATTTGGCCAAAATAACATTTTCACACCCGGTCGAATATGAAGGTGTGCTTCTGCCCTGAGATGTAATAAGCTTTAGAGTTATTCTAAAGATTAAAAAAGTATACTGATCTGAATGAGATATCAAGTTATGAATTATTGCTTTTAGTACGTGACTTATTCATTGTGTATAACGTTTAAGGTTTTGTAGACTTTTTTAATCGCAAGATCAATGAGACTAATATATCCATAGGACACAGGGCCCCACACTTCACTGTCTACTGACATACAACAGGACAGTATGACAAAGGAAATTCTACATGACTCCAACTTCCCCTGAGTGGTTGGGGCATAAAAACAATATCCAATTTTTCCAATGTTAACACACATTTTTTTCCAACCGCAAAGGTACAACTACACATGCTCACATACAGTTATGTAAATTTTCATGACTCAGGTCAAATACTTTTTGAGCTACGCATCACACAATTTGAAAAAATAAATGAAAATTTATACAAAGTCAATTTAACCACATGCAAAACCCAAGGTACACAGCTTCACATGTTTATCAACATTGGTGTAAAGTTTGTTGATTCAAGCTCAAATACATTAAGAGGTACACATGACACAACATTTTAAAACTGTTTTTTGTCAAGGACATTAACAAATTCCAATAACAAGCAAATCCCAGGCTGCACAACTACAGATGCTGATCTTGAAAGCATAATGACTCTAAGTAAAATATGTTTTGAGCTATGCTCAACACAAAGTCGAAAATTGCAAATTTTAACTAGTTAAGTCAGGGGCAATAACAAATAATGAAAAATCCACACATGAAACCCAAAGTGCACAACTTTATATCCTGATTAACATTTCTATAGTTTCATGACTCTAGGTCAAATACTTTTTGGGCTTCGCACGACAGAAGTCAAAGGTAACAACTCTGACAAAACGAGATAAATCCACACGCAACCCCCAGGTGCAGAACTTCAAATGCTGGTCAACATTCTTGTAAAGTTTGTTGACTCTAGCTCAAGCCTAGTTAGCGGTACATCCGACACAACATGAGAACGGACGGAAGAAATGACATATCTAAATGTCCCCAAAGGGGCACAAAATGGCGATTATGAAGTTTATATCACCAAGTAAAAGCGAAAAATTATCATTCAAATGAAAGTGCTGGATTGATTTTTAATACTTTTATCTCCGTTGATATTATCATTAAGTGATTATTCAAAAGAAATATAAAAAATACTCATTTTCATACTTACCGAACAATTATAGATCTGAAAATTTCAAGTGTTGAGTTGAACTCGTCTCGTGAAATGTGTAGATCTTCTTTTATTTCCCCGCCAAAGGAATCGCCAAGAAAAAGTCCAGAAGAAGATATCAAGGATAACATTTTGTTCTCGTAATAAGGAAGCACCAATACTAAACTCTTGCTCATATTTTTTTCAAACCCACAAACCTTTTCAACAACTTCTTCAGCTAAATGTGTTCCCCAGTAATTGTGTGTGGCGTTGACATAATAACTAATATGGAAGTCAGGAACACCTAGGGCACAGTTATAAATGTTTGATGACCCAATGATGTTTTCGTGGAATTCAAATGGAACGTAATTTTGAATATCAATCACGGAGGACGAAAAGACATTTTCATCGAATTTATTACCAGTTAAAGAGACATTACCATTTGTATGTCTCTTATAGACAGCTAGAAAAGACCGTGCCGTATTACCGTTCACTAAATTATGCTTCACTTCGACATAATAAATCCTTTTGTTGTTAATAAAGCTTATTATATCGTTATTCTCTCGTAATGTATTATTTACGAATGTATTGTTGTTGAAAAATAATTCTATCTGGGACGAATCACTAGAAGAAGCTTTGAACAAAAAAGAGCGCCTGCTTCCAGAAAAAATATTGTTATCGAAATGAATTTCCAAAAGACCTAACGAAGACCAATAAAACTCACTTTCAATACAGATCCCTTCTGCAATGTTGTTTTGAAAAAGATTATTTCGAAATAAAATATATCTGTGAGGCACTTTGTACCGCCAATAATTCTTCAACTCTATAAAACTATGAGTGCGTAGAACACCGAAATAGTAATACTCGAAGATATGGTTCACAACTTTACACGAATCCAATATTATTCCAGTTGCAATGTCTCCATTAATTGCATAGTTTTGATTGGAAGAAATAACTGAATTGTTAACGTATATCATTTCATTCCGCGTAGATTGGAAAATGTATATGCCACTTTCACCATTTTGGGATATGTCACACTTATAGAACATAACTCCGGCATCTGAAAACATTTTTATCCCATTCTCCTTGTTCTGTGATATAACACTGTTCTGAATTATCAAAAAGCTAAATATTTGCGATATTTGACTATACCTACCGGAAATAGTTACACCATTTTCATCATTATTATTGATTGTTAGATTGGAAAATTCGTAAGTACCGTTATTGTCACTTTGACGTTGTGAAAATATAACCGACAATCCAGACTTACGTGAAAACGATGAGGTCAGATTTGAAATGTCAAACGAAGGATCTGTAATAGTTATTCCCACTTCAGTATCATTTATAATGAGGTTGAAGATTTCACAACCTGGAAAAGAAAAAAAATGTTTTTGTCATACTATCGACTGGATATAATATTCCAGAAAATACATAGAATAATAATGATGAATAAACATGATTGGGAAAAGCAGATGAGTTACACGTACTTTTAGTAAACACAATACGAATACTGCCATTAAAATCTGGCAGTTCTTATTAATTAACACGATCTTAACACAGCGTCTCATACAAAGCGTGTGAATTCTTGAAGTCAAATTTTTCATTTTCTGAAAGATTTCCTAGATTTCAAGAAATTTCTGTAATTCTATGTTTTTGCAACATCATTCAAAGATGAGCATAATATATCTTTCTTTATTTAGTTTCAAATGAACTAAATATGAGCTAGGATTAACGAAACCGTTAAAGTTTTGTTGCCTGTCCTCAGATCTGTCCAGACCGGCTACCTTATATACATCTAGTTAGTTTTGAGCTATAACAAACATTTATCAAAAACATTGTTATCTAATAAGCAAGTGTTTTTGAATTAAAGAATTTTAATACCATGCCTTCATGTACCTTGATTTGAATGAATCTCAATTCCTCTCCATGGAAGGTCAGGGGTCTCAGGAATAAATTTGATCGGAAGTTCCGTCTCTCCAAGAACTATGAACCTCCCTATGTAAAAAAATAAAACAGGCTTTATACACTCAGTATTTTAGGAGTCGCATTTAAGATTTATTGAGAATAAAATAAAACAAAGTCACCAGATTTCATCAAATACATAACTTCAACACAATGGCATCTTTTGTGAATTTAAGAAAAATGTCCATGTTAATCGAAGAGTACTTATGACACATATCTTTTAATTTCCAGCAGACATTTTCACAAAAAATCTTACGATTTATCTTAAGTTTTTGACTTACGATAATCGTAAGTTAAATCTTAAGTCATTTTCACAAAACCACTCGTTAGTTAAAATTTTATCTTAAGATAAAAATTCACTTACGATAAATATTACGATAAAACATCCCTAGCAACGTTCATTTGATATTGATGTGCATGCTCTATATTTGATTCCGGTTTTTAAATCAAGTAATAAAGAGCTTGAAATATGTATTGAACACAATCAAATTTCAATTAGAACCAAAGGATGATTCAAACATTATATATCTAAGTGATTCAGAAACAAGGTCTTCTATGTTATCGCTAAGGTATTAATAAATAAAAAGGTGCCACTAGTACATGATGGCAATAAAATCGAACTCACAAAATTGTACAAATTATTAGTTTTTTAATAATAGAGAATCTACTACAGTATAGTTCACATTTAAACTATTCATAACCCTTTCCATCGTGACGTCATCAAGTCATGACGTCACAAATGTTTATATTGAATTAATTTGTGTTATTTATAACATATTGTTTGCTTAATATATATTTCTCCTCCATTTTTTGTTTGTTTTTGTTCAGTTTTGGTAAGAGATACATGATAGATTTAGACAGATTTTTCACTTAAGATTTTCTTAAGATTTTTTGTGAAAAGGAGATTTATCATAAGATTTCTCTTACGGTAAAAAATTGTCGTAAGATTTTTTGTGAAAATGTCTGCTGTAGCGTTATCTAACATTTTAACATGATTCCATTTCAATACCTACATTACCGTACACATAGACACTAAAAACGCAAGTACAAGTAATTATAATATCAAATATGATGATACGGGTTCTCAATGACATATTTTAAATGAGTTATTGTTGTAGTTTTGCAAAATGATCTATTTGGTGGTCTTACCTTTAACATAAACACCCGCTCCTTGCCTGATTATAAGAATTACTCCAGCTTCTATTCTAAGTGTGTCTCCTTCTTCGACATTGATATTTGATATCACTAAAAAAGGACTATCACTTAATTTGAGCGTTACGTTTCCGTCAACCTTTCCGCCAATTTCACCACTTTCGGAAATAAAGCCAATATCAATATTTTGTACATCGGATGTATTTTTTGACCCCAAATAAGGTCTAAATTTAACATCTAATAACGAACTGTCAAAGTCAAAATCATAAATTCCTTTGGATATAACTCTTGTATCTGTCGTACCCCAATAATTCAGTGACGCATCGATACTTCCTTCATTATTTGTTATGTCATCTGGCAGTACCTTCACGTTATAAAATGCGTATCTGTTATCGAATATATTATGCTTCAGTCTCGTATTTTGCCATCTAAATGAAATCACAGTTCCGTTGTTGTCTTCAAAGTAGTTCTCGGTAATGTTACATGTCAGGAGTCCTAATTCATCTGAGCTTAAGAGTATTATTCCGCTCTGGTGACTGTTCTTTACAAATGTATTTCTTACTATCCTTAGACCATCTTCTAATTTGTCAGTGACATATAAACATAGTTTGTTTGACAGAAAGGTGTTGTTTCTCATTACCATATCTTGTAATATAGTGTCTATTCCGATGACAATAGTTTCATAATTTTTAAATAAGTTTGAATCTATTGTAAGTGTATGAGGACTTCCCCTAAGATAACCGTAATAGTTTACACCTTTTCTTGATTTTAAATGATGGACATCGAAAGTGTTATTGACAATGTTGATGATGTGTCTCTGTCCGTAAGAAGGTTGATACATATCCAAATCAGTACCGTTGAAACGCGAGGTATTAAAATTGTTTCCTATAACATTAATTTCCTTAGTGTAATTCGTGGATTTGCCATTACATAATGAAAATTTTAATGGCACCTTAGAATCACCAAACTTGTTATTAATGACAGATATATCCATTGATAAAAAACGGAAAGAAATTAGCCGATCATATTTACTTGTGGACGAAAGAGCGGAGTCTGTAATTACTGATTTAATGTGACTGGAGCAACCTTCAAGAAACATGCCATTAAAATAAGATGACATAAAAGAACTTCTTGATATATAAAGATTCATAAGTGTTATATCATCATTTAATGTTGATTTGCTAACTGACAGTATTTTATCCTTGCATTTGAAACTACATCTTTCTATTGTTAATTCCACATCACTGTCCAATGTCGATATCATTAATAAAGAATTGTAGCTAGAACTGATTACGTTGGTATTTTCAATCAACACGGAAATAGTTCCATTTGATATGCGAGCATCTAGAAGACGTTTAAGGCTTTTATCTACCGAAGAGTAATTGCTTATAATGATCGTCGAATTGGCTCCGTTTACTACCAGACATGTATCCATTCCATAAATAGACACGCTGTATATACGTACGACTAAAATATAATTATATAAAATATAACAGGAAAGCACAAATATAAACTAACGTGGTTTTGTAATACATCCCTTTTTTCGATGTTATTTACAAAAAAAGTGTTTTTATTTTTGTTTATATAATTATTTTTTTTGATACATGCATTAATTATTATTATACATATATATTACTTTCAGATATGCATTACTGTAAACAACTTATTTAATTTCAACACTAAACGTGAAATTGTTGATTTCGGGTCTTGTTCAAACAGATACCAATAACTGTTAATACATTGATAAGTAGGTAAGCCTCACCTGCTGATGATAGGCTTATACCATTCCATTTATTGTTAGAGCTCATTGTGCCTTCTAACTTCAACACAGTGTTACTTTGTACAGCATTCTGAGTTCCGATTGTTAGGGTACCTTACCGAAAAGGGAAAGTTCAAATATAACAATCTAATGTAGTTTGTATATTTAAGCGTTTCCATGCCCAACTTTCAAAATTATTATATCATTAAACAGATACTTGTTTCCATTCAAGCATTAGTATTTTCGATTGTTTTAAAGAATTTAAACAACAATCACAAATGTCTAAAGAACTAAATAAGACAGAAATTTAGTGTATAGTTATCTATCTTTAAACATTCCTTTTTTGAAAATCACTTATACCAGCAAGTATGTCTTTACTTTTTTGTAAGTATTTAGATATTAAATGCATATTACCATATACTTGGATGCCTCTGTTCCTCTTTATGGTTATACCCACATTGGCTATTTCAACAGTTACCCCTTTGGAAACTAATAAGCTTCTGCTTAAAACCACTTCATGACCATTCAAGTCGGAGAAATCCATATTTCTATCTATTATGCCACCGATATATGTAATATTATTTTGCACATCCATACTAGAACGAAAGGAGTCTAAATAATTAGCTGTGCTGGTGATGTCCATCTCTTCATTTATAAAATAGTAATTTAGTTTAGCAATGGCTTTTGAAGAGTCAATAAAGAAATCACAAACTTTAGCTTTGACTTCAGCAATATCAGATAATCCCCAGAAATTATTATCAATGTTTAAAGCACTAACACTGTTATATGTTTGGCCTACTGAAATATAACAAGATGTCACAGTTGTATTGATGAAAGAATTGAAAGCAAAGGAATGTCCTAAACCTTGGTGTAGAAAAACACATGTAGACAACGTACAATGCTCGAAGCTATTGTTCAAAATCTGCGCAGATATGTCGTGTATATCAATAAAAATATCGTTTCTGTATTTCGATAGACAGGATATAAATTTATTTTTCTGCAGGGAAAGCGTGTCATTCAGTGTGTTGCCTTTTGCTAGTAGTGGGAAACGTGACGTTTGGAACGAGTTATTTTCTACATAAGCCCTAACATTTCCATCCGATTTAAACGAAAGTCTAACATCTCCTGAATTTGACACAAACGTGTTGTTTTCTACTGCGATATTAATCTCCTTACTGATATCAAGCTCCCGCCAATAAAGATCAACTGCCTGATTATTTTTTGAAAAAGAATTATTTCTAAGTATAATCTCAATGAGTTGCTCTGATATGCATCCATAGTAATAAGAGCAGTACAAAGAGTATTTGATACCATTGTCATTTTCAATAAACTGTGAATCAGATACATTTAAGTATATAGAAATTTTATTTCGTACAACACGTTCTTGAAGCAGACCAAAGTCTGAATTACTGTAAAATACCGATGTCCTTATGCTGATTTTGGTCATCGATTGATCATAACATCGAATTCCACCTTTTGAGTTTTTGCTGAATGAACTGTTGTGTATAAACAAGTGGGTAGGAATGTCCTGTGAATTTCCTGTGTCCCAGTTAAAGACCGATATTCCATTTCTGAGGTTAGAATAAAATTTTGAGTGTCCTATGTAAATGTCTGTATACTGACTTGTGCCAATTACTTGAAGACCATCCGTGTTATCATGGGCAAAAACATGAGCCAATATCATACGTTTGGTGTTGATATCTGTGATGTTGTCAGAAACTCCGCCGTATAATCGAATACCACTGACGCATGAATATATCTCACAATTGTCCATTCTGACGCGGGACCCATTCCCTTGTACGCCTGTAAATGCTTGTCGAATACTTGTACTATCGAGAGTTATGTTTCCTGAAGATATACATTGTAAAGATATACATTGTTTACTATGTAAACTTTACATAATCTAAAGCTTATTATATAAAGCTCAAAATTAATTTTAATTTTGAAAAGGACGTGTACATAAATGTATACCTTATATTCATCAACATTTGAAATGTGAGCCTTGTATTTTCCACCATATGAATGAATACCTCCTTGAATATACCAACTTTCAAATGTATACCTAACATTTTAATGTATACTTTAAAATCACCGACATTCAAATGTATATCATATATCCAACAAATTTCAAATGTATACCGTATAATATTCACCAACAATTTATATATCACCTTTGGTGTTTAAACAATTTGTATAAAATTAAAATTTCAATAGGGTTTTTTTTTTCAATTACATGTTATTATGACATTTCAAAAATAAAATTAATATGTGGTTTGTGTCTTTGTTTATTTAAAAGGAACAAGTATAACATGTAAAATACCCTCTAGATATTTTGAAACCTATTTTTAAAGGAAAGAAAATCATTATCTAAGATGCCTACCTCCATTTTCCTGTATTATACCACTCCACTGTGAGTGAGCAAACAAGACTGGATATTTAGATGTAAATAATACATTAAGTCCAGATATTCCGTTTGAAACAAGTGTACCTAAACAGAATAGACATTGTCTTCATATAAGATATGTGATAATTATATGTAAATGAATAGCATAGTTGACATACTTACACTTCCACCGCCCCTATTATAATATTACTCTCGATTCCATACATAATCTTTAGCACAATTTTTTCTTTAACTATATAGTTACAATGAATATCAATAAAAAATGGATAAAACAATCCGCTGATGATCATCATGAACAAGGTTAATATCAATTAATTTCACGCACACTTTTACATTTAGCAAAGATTCACTTACTCTATTGATAATCTTTGGCTGAATTCTATGTAAGTATTTCAGATCGACGGATACAAAGTTATTTCAGCGAGATGAATAGGGGAATTGAGGTTCTTCAAGTTTGGTCTTTATAGAGGCAAGTTGCGAATATCCTTGGCGCATCCAACAATTCTATGTTTTGTTTTAAGAATGTGAATCCGGAGGACGAAAACGCTTATTCACTGAAGCGCAGCCACTGACTTTCAGAATGCTACCGGTATGCGTATAAGTACACACACCGTTAGAAAACGATTACATAAAGTTGAGATCACGACGGCCGGCCACCCAATTTACACGACAGCTTGTTCAAAACCTTGAACATGTAAGTTGGGGCCTAACCGCTTTTCACAGATAAGTCAAGGTTCTAAACGGACATGTAGGACTATGGTTTGGAGAATGCCTAATGAGTGCTTTAAATCAGATTGTGTTGATGTACATGATAGTTTTGGCAGAGGAGGTTCAGGAATGGTACCGACGGGGATTAGTGCTAGGGCAAAACGGATCATATCATTTGTTCATGTACGTTCCTTTAAAACTTCATGCCTCCAGATGAGCCAAATATTTCAAGAAAATCAACCTTGAGAAAAATGTTCTAAGATTTTAGTAAAAAGTAAATGGTTTTAAGATATAGGTAATCATTTCCATGTCGTATACGATTAATAACTGATTTCGCAGTATTTATCGCAGTATTTTTCTACTGCGTGGCTAAACCAGTAAGATCCCTTAAAGCAATTTTTAACTCTTTTTGTGTACCGTCAGTGCCTTGTGCAATGTGTAAATTACTTTTGTTATTCACTTCACGTTAGTTCACTTTTAAATATAAGGCCATTTTGTTCATGAAAATTAGCATTGATCTGGGCAGCATACTACTCTGCCCTTCTGGGGGAATTCATGAGACATATTCAAAACATAAGTTATAAAATGAGATCCTCAGCAAGTTTTCATGGTCACGCCTTTGTCAAGTTAACGGGTACTGGATAGTAATTTTGTTCTTGATGATCTATGGAAGATTATTTTATGATAATGTTTAATCATTATTGACAAATGAGTTTATTTCCTGTACTATTTCTTTACTTTGTTGAGTATAACTTATCAGTGAATGGTAGAGTACATGCTTGACATGATTTAGCAAAATATCAAATGTTTGATATATAATGTTAGACATCAGACAGAAAATTGAGGTTTGACACCTGGGCATCGTTTTCAAAAATTTCACACAAAGTATGCATTCTTACATATGTGAGCATTAAATAGTCTGTATAAAATTGTGTTGCGGTTCATAATGAATAAGTAGCATGCCTTACCCCAAATTTGGATTCCGGCACTCTTTGAGGTGAATATCACAGCTACCCCCGCTTGTATCGTCAATGTTGCTGCCGGATGGACAACAATTGTACTGTTTACAAGAATAGGGCTTTGGCTTGGAATCCATGTTGTGTCAATCTAGCATATACAGTATAACAAGTAAAACTACTTATTGAGATAATCAAATACTCGGTGAGTCTATTTTCAGTCTCGACATGTATTGTCATATTACTTTGAGTGAATTTTAAGATTTCAGAAACGTATGAAGTACAGGGTTAGATTAAAATATAGATTATCAATTAAGCCAAATAAAATGAACATCGTGTTAAAATATCTTCATGAATGTTTCTACCAGTCTTTTCTATTCTATAGATTTATATTGATGATCAGAGTGATATAGATAATTCTTACTTCAATATTCTGTTGTACGGTTGTGGCAAACACGGCTGATGCCTTGGCGTGTTGACATCCGTATAATTCTATCAGCAATGAAGGACGTTTATAATACGACACAGGGGTAAACGTCAAATATCGAGCCTACAAATATATGTCATGATATTGATTCTTTCATACTAGCTCAAAAAAGTGTATTACAGATAAAATCATATATAAAATCACAATGGAACATGACGTTATGTTTTTTTAAGAAATTCTTAGAACTTTTGATAATTCTTAAAACTATTGATTATAAAAATGATTACACCTGGGAAGAATGATAGATCTTCTCGTCTTCCCAGATTGTTCACTTTCAATTTCGTCATTTAACCTGAGTAAAATTTATCGGACCACAAACTTCAAAACTTGATACAGTATAGCATCTGCAGGGTGGCCTTCTTGAAGGTAATAACCTCTTGATACAGTATAGCATCTACAGGGTGGCCTTCTTTAAGGTAATAACCTCTTGATACAGTATAGCATCTGCAGGGTGGCCTTCTTTAAGGTAATAACCTCTTGATACATTATAGCATCTGCAGGGTGGCCTTCTTTAAGGTAATAACCTCTTGATACAGTATAGCATCTGCAGGGTGGCCTTCTTTAAGGTAATAACCTCTTGATACAGTACAGCATCTGCAGGGTGGCCTTCTTTAAGGTAATAACCTCTTGATACAGTATAGCATCTGCAGGGTGGCCTTCTTTAAGGTAATTACCTCTTTACAACAACCATATCATGCTTTCTCAAAGTAAAGACTTCCATTTTCTTTTACCTTTCTAGAACATTATCTCTAAGCAACAACTAAAATATTGGTCTCCAAATGGGTATTACTTTGCTGATGTTATACAATACATATGTAGTATATAAATAAAAATGAACATAATTTGCTCTTTTCATAGGGATAGTATCCATAGCCCCTATCAACATGGCTTCAGGTCAAAACGGAGTTGTGAGTCCCAGCTAGTAAGCTTCTCCCAAGAAATTCATGACAATCTTGAAAGTGGCCAACAAACTGATGTCATAGTCACGGATTTCAGTAAGGCATTTGATAAGGTGGACCATCACAAACTTGTGAGTAAACTAGAAAGATTGGGTATAAGCTATGAGGTTACAAATTGGGTCCATTCCTTCCCCAGCAGGTCGTAGTTGAAGGTAAAAAATCAGGTATACTACCAATCCTCTCAGGCGTCCCCCAAGGCTCGGTATTAGGTCCCTGCCTTTTCCTTTCTTACATAAATGACCTCCCAGATAGTGTCAAAGGTAAGGTTAGACTCTTTGCAGATGATACTGTTGTCTACCTAACCATCAGATCTAAACAGGATGCCCAAACCCTCCAAGATGACCTTCATGCTTTAGAAACATGGGAAAAAGACTGGTCCATGGAGTTCAACCCTGACAAATGTGAAGTTTTCAGGATAACAAGAAAAAGAAACCCTGTAATATTTCCTTATACCCTCCATAACATCCAACTAAACTCGACTCAAGAAGCGAAATACTTAGGAGTCACTATTAGTCAAGACCTTTCATGAACCAAACATATAAACAACATCACATCTAAAGCAAATAACTCCCTCATATTTATTAGAAGAAATGTTAAAAACCCAAATAAAGAGATAAAGGAAACTGCATATAAGACCTATGTTAGACCTCAGGTTGAATATTGCTCCATAGTTTGGCATCCTTGGCAGAAATACTTAATTTATAAGATAGAGCAAGTACAAAGATCAGCTGCTAGATACATTTTTAATGATTATGACTATACAAATAGTGCCTCAAAAATGATAAATGATCTAAATTGGCAAACCCTTGAACAGCGTCGAAACATCAGTGCTGCAACCTACTTGTATAAAATCCAAAACAACATTGTTTTTGTTGACCACCAACACCTTACTCAAACAAGAAATCTGAACTACCTGATACCCTACTCAAGGACACAATATCATCAAAATTCTTTCTTTCATAGGAGCGTACGTCTTTGGAATAGCCTTTCTCTAACTGTTCAGTCTAGCCCCAGTTTAAACATCTTTACTGAGAGGCTTGACCCATTCTATAAATTCTAAATTGCACACTACGTCTTTTAAATTAATAGTCTTGTAGTACTTTTATTCTTTTAACTTTTTAATTTGCATATGAATAATTTCTTTTATTAACAGTTCCCTGACAACGCGCCTGCTAGTCATAATCAGAATTGATTGTTAAGCAGTATAATGTAGATGTAGTATAGCGATGCACAAGCTGAATAGGAATATGTACAATAAAACTACCACTGACAGTGTCAACAAACAATATATTTTAACTATGACTCGCTTCTTTTATTTTCATTTATTTCCCCCCTAGATTGTGGCATTTGTGTTTTCGATTTACTATTTGTTCTAATTTTTATGATTTGTGGAATATACAAGTATTATAAAACTTTCATCACTTCATCAACATTTTGGTAAAAATGGAATGTACATTTACAGAAACAGTTTTCAAAATAGATGCCCCTACTTATTTATAGCATTTAAATGTAAAATGACATCGCACAAAACGTGTAAGCATGGCATGAATAATTACCTTTAATGAAGGATTAAGCTCCGTTGTTGTTGACTTCCATTGTCTTTCAAATATGTTTCCAAAAGCTTCGTCAGACAATCGGCTTTTATATGGCATCCACACATATCCATCCATACTGTATGATATCCTGCATTATGTAATAATATGACGTCTCTATCAAAGATATCAATCACTCTACCATGAGTTTATGTTGACATATCATTGACGTCAATTGATAGACGTCCATGTATATAGCTTGAACAACATATAGAATTGCCTATAATAATATTGGTAACGGTTTAGATGCTAATTAGAGGGTACTCTCCTGGGCATCAGTCGAATGTTTCACTATCGTTCACTGTGTGAAATAACGGTAGCTGAGCAGCAAAGGGGGCGTAATGAAAGGGTACGGGTGATAATTATTCTTTGCATATAAGTATTACAAAGTAAGTAACTGCACAGGAAATTGACATTCTATAAGTAAATAATTAAAAAATAACGGCAAATATACCCCTCTATACTATAAAATAAACACAACGAATGCAACGCCTTTTGCACACTCGATACACATTTTATCTAATTACAAACGTGGAATATCAATGTCAAAAAACTAGTTTAGCAATTTCGATACACAATACAAAATTAGTCATTTTACAACCGCTGACAAATTTTTTTGTTGACATTTGAGTAAATATTGCCAATTTATTATTATACAATGTTGTGATTTAAAACATCAGCGGTTGTTAAATGACTAATTTCTAAAGATGCATCTACATATTAAGTTTCAATAGATTTAATTGATATGTATTTCGTATTTTATTTATTAAAGTCTTATCTATATACATGGTACAATATAATACAACAATAAATATATCTTAAGAACATGTATATAACCATTCTATACAGAATTACAGGAGACTTCAAATGTATAAAGCACATAAATATATATAGCATTTTATAATTATGACTATTTACATGATAAAACTATGCTCTATGTAAGAATAGTTAAGAATAAAACAGTACGACTTTGTAGTTAAAAGAGGAGCACTTATGTCATTAAAAAAATAAAAATTATGATAAAAAAGTGAACTGATAATAATCTACCATTATATTATTTACAAAGATAAGATTTACGTCTGTTAAGAATATCGAAACAGGTTTTGCCACATATTCTAATTAAGGAGGTATTTGTAAAAAGAAACACAAGTTTATCATTATCTGACTTGTTATAAAATTCTGGATCGATGGCTGCCGCCTTATGAAATAAGTTTCGTCTGTAATCATCATAAAGTGAGCACTGTAGGATAACATGCGATTCTGATTCAACGTTGTTAACACAAAATGGACAAGTACGGTTTTGTTCACTTAAGTTTTCATATCTTCCAGTTTGTAGTCTAATGGGAGCAACCCCACAGCGAAATTTACAGAAGGCAGATCTGTGTAAAGGTGGCATAATCATGGTGCAATAAAAAAAAGAAAAGAAGTTAATGACCATAAACGAAAAATAAACCGAAAAGGCAAACGAACACCTACGCTGACGAATGGGTATTAACAATACCACCACGTTTTATCTAAGTTTATATGGAATCCAACTTACCTAAATGTTCGTGTATACCAACCGTTATCGCTATCTTGGAAAGATATTTTTGTTATTTCGAAGATGTCTTCAAAATCAACTTGAAGGTATTGGAATATTTCATCATCAGCAATCCACCCACCTACGATATAATAAAACATTTATGCTAATATTTAACCAATGAATTTTTTTCAGGCATACATGTAATTCTATTTCACTTTATAGTATCCTATTGCAAGCGCTACTCTTTATTTATGTCTTCGGGAGTTTTCATATAGACATACATGTATAGGCAAAATTAAAATTGTCCCTAACGTTCAGCGTTTATGTCTTAAAAGTGACTTTAAAAAAAAGATATGCAATGATGTTAAATTAATAAAACTATTTGTAAAAAAGATGTTGTTTAGGGTCGGTTAACTCAGTTTTATTGTATTTTGATCATATAAGGACGAGCAATAACCCAGTTAACATTTTTAGAAGTTCACTTATCTTTCCGCAAGTCAGCAGTCACTTATATAGTCGCCTATAAAATGGTCAAGGAAATGAATACGCCATGCCGAAGGCTTTTTCCTATGCAAGTTTTAATACATTACTTCAATATTTTCGTCTCAGCATCTCTAAATTCTTTATATATGTACATGTATATACAAACCAATATAACAAGACCATGTACATATCATAAAAAATATAAAATATAATATGCATATATTTAAGTTACATTTAATAAATTTCATAAAAACAGAAATAGCGACATTTCATTAATAAATTGGGTTTTATATCGACTCCATATCTTATTTTGGTGTCCAGACAACCAAAATGAGTTTTATAAGCATAAAAAATGGGCAACCTCATTGTGGCGAAATCGGAAGTACAATTGCATGAGAAACTCCGCCTTCAGAACATCCGTACATCAATATTAAATCAACAAATATGACTATAAGTAGCAGTTCTAATTTAACGGTATATTTCCGCATTGTAACGGATGTTTTCATACAAATTTAATCTTTTTTTATGAGATGATTACTTTTTACTGAACCTCATGCCTAGTGATCCGTGAAGTTAAACGGTTAAAATGTAGCTTTAAATATTAAAGTTGTATCCCTTTGTTTGTGTTTCTATTTATTACGAATGTATTTTGTCAGATATCGACGTTTCAAATTACTATTGAAACTATTTCACTACGGCAAGTTAGACAAATATTCAACACAATTGTAATAAAAATAATTTTGAGAGAAATGAAAGCCACTTTAAAAGCAACTACCCGATTGATTTTTGTTTCGCGTGGTTAAACTAATTGTGCTTAACACACGTTGTATTACCTTCAGAAAAATATATGAGCCGCGTCACGACAAAACCAACATAATGGGTTTGCGACCAGCATCGATCTAGACCAGCCTGCGCATCCGCACAGTATGATCAGAATCCAACTCTATAACAAGTAGAGAAACTGATAGCGAACAGCATGGATCCTGATCAGACTGCACGGATGCGCAGGCTGGTCTGGATCCATGCTGGTCGCAAACCCATTATGTTGGTTTTGTCGTGACGCGGCTCATTTCTTTAAGGCCCATTATTATAATTTATGTACGACATAATATTCGTCAAAGACATTTAGAAATGATTCGTTTGGTTTAAACAATTAGTGAAGTTATGAAAAAAGCAATGTGTGTAATATTTTAACTTTGAAACTGCCAAATAGGTCCCCCCCACAGAAAAAACCAAGTCTATGATAATCAAGGTGCTATAACGTTTATTTACATTTGCATGTCAAATGCATCCACCCTGTGCTATGCCTCTCTCATGATTAACTGTTAGAAAAACAAAATATCCTTATACTAGTAAAGGGTACTATAAACACTAATCACACTTTCCATGCATTTTTGCCCAAATCTCAAATAAATTTATAAATTCATACCTCTACTTTCACTGTAGGCAGACGATTTTAAGATTTTACTGAAAACCGTTTTCTGCTATTTATAAACTGATTGCCACCTCAATATTCAGATGCAAATTTTGAGAAACAAACTTAATTTCACACTAAATGAAACTAATCGTGATCAATGGGACATATATCAATTTTGTTTTTACAAAATTGGGCTTTAAGGGCCCATAATGCCTTGGAAATATTTGTATGTTATAACCTTGTAACCTTACCTCCTCCAGATCTCGCCGAACTTGCATTATGGGTAGCATCATATTCAGAAGATGCCGAGAACTGGTCGTCACGAAGTCCATGTGTCAGAGGGGTATTACAATCTCCGATTGTTGATTCTGAAAGTTATTAAAATTAATTCGTCAATAGGCATTATATTAATATCAGATATTTGTGATAAGTACGGTATAGTACAGTAAAGTACACAGTGCAGTGCAGTGCAGTGCAGTGCAGTACATGGCAGGTCAGGATCTGTTATTGGTGTTTGAAAAGACATAGTATCTTCAGACAAATCAAGTTATATTACACAAACATTTATACACTCAACTATATTTCTAATTGGTGACCTACATCTTTCCGCTTTACATTGACAGTCTCTTATTCATGACAATTTTTTGAGTTTGTCTTACTTTAACATTGTCAAATTACGAATGTTCAGCTCTTGAGTTCTACATTTTTCAGTGTCATGTGACGTTGTTTGTTTTAAGTTTTAAAGTTACAGTTTACAATAAGGTATTAGATGTTTTCAGTTTTGTCATATAGGGTCGAAAGGCAAAAATACTATAGTACGGCAAATTGGTCACTTTGACGTATTTCAGTGTTTTTCTCCGGAAATATACGACATGGCACAAATCAGCCACAATACAAATTGGCCTTGGCAAACAGTTACTGTTTTCTATAGTAAATTATTTACTATTACATGTATTAAGCTATAAAAGCTTCCCTTTCGCCCGTCTCCCAACCGCTCCAAAAAGAAAAAAAAGGAAAATAAAACAACATTAATCCCGAGAGTATGCACCGGGATATTTGGTGACATTTGTTCTATGAATATTAATATATGAGAAATATAGGAGTGTCACTCAGAAGAATGTACGTGTTTCTTCATATCATATATTAATAACAAAGTGTCATGATTCTTTCAGAGAACCTTGTTAAAATTGGATAAATGAATATACCGCTTGACTGTTAAGTAATTAATCTCTGAGCTTATCATTGTTTTTTTTATATAATAAAAACAAAATAAATAACCCTAGCTCACCCTTGTTAGGAAAAACAACTGGCTCGCGTTACATCAGATTTATTATGCTTAAATTCATTGATATGCTTCAATCAGACAATAGAAGTATACTTGTATGTAACAGATGCGATGTCTCATAGACATACCTTAGATATATATGTAGTAGATACAACATAATTATATAATACATTAATTATTGATTTGAAATGAACGTGGTTAGATCTGGTCTTGTGATCTATGTTAGTATGTATTGTAAAATGTTTATATTTGTATGACGATGTATAATTGTAATTAAGTAAAAATAAAGAATCGTTCTGTTTTGGTCATAAACTAAATACATGCCAGACACTACAATGTCATTCAGTATTAGTTTAGCAGACTACATAACAATAAAGGCCGCCAATTGTATGATTGTATGATTAGATTGTATAAACCGAATACAGTATAACCTTAAAAAGCCATATCGGATTACGATCTGCACGCAACTACATTTAAATAAAAGATTACTGCAGTACGGCGTATCATTTAACACACTCACAAAAAAGAGAAAAAAAATATCGCGGCAAAAAAGTAATGATATAGATTTTGAATAGAATACCGTTTGATATATACGTTCTTCTCATTTCTCTGACATTTTTTTTTCAAAAATAAATATAAAAAACATATCTTCAGATCAAATAAATATCTTCATAACTATTTCATTATGTCATTATGTTATAATACATATTATGCATGTTTATTTGTTAATTATGTGTATAAAGAAAGTTGCTTAAATGTTATTTTAATATCTAAAAGAAGCGTTTGTCAAAACAATCAAATATGTTTGTTATAGGACCAAATCTTAATTGACAAATGGAATAGTTATTCTTTGAAGATGTTTTGTGTGTGAATTTTTAATTTTTATATATTGTTTACAAGGCCACATTTAAAATTTAGATATGTTATTTGTGTTTTACGAGGGTGTATCTTCATGTTTTACCTTCTTTAAAGTGACATTATGCCCATCCAAGGGTATATAGTGAGTGAACAGGTGAATATCAAAATAAGTTTTCATTTTGCCATAATACCTTTAAATTTAATAATTTACTTCCCATAAACAAAAAATAATGCACAGATCCAAACAAAATTTCTGTAAAGATCCATTAGAATTTACCTATAATGCACAGTTTATTAAAAGAGTGTTTTTGCAGTCTTTTTACATTTTAGGCAGATTAATAATTATATACTTAACATCTTCCAATATCAACTGTAGGTCAGACACCATTTTAAAAGTCAATCTTGTGAAATATAAAGTCCATTCAGCTCAACTTGACAATGAATATATGAGCATAATGTCACTTTAAATAATAATAAGAATTATTATTATTATTATTATTATTATTATTATTATATACTCATTTTAATGCTATAATAATTGAATATGAATTTAAATCATTTTGTCTTTCCAGTAATTTTTTTTCACATAATAACAAAGAATATCAAAATTAACTTATCTAAATTCTTACCTGTCTGACAATGCACCGGTAAAACACGTAACATGACGAAAACATTAAAGAATACTTGAAATAAATTCTTCCGATACATGATGAGTAAAATTTTACACAACATATAAACAAACTTCTGATAAAATCACTGAAAACTATTAATCATTGTCTAGAAAACATCCTTATGATTTATGTCACATTAGCCTTGTCTTTCGCTAATGAAACTAATGAAACACCCTTAAAGTCACATTTCAAAAGGTATACATGGCTGAAATCAATACCCCAACTTTTTATCCATTACTAACTCCGAGACAATTATACCCTTATCAGGTGACTTTAATATGCAATGGTAAAAAGATCAGAATTTGTAATTTTTGAACAAGGACATTTATTAAACACGCGTTGTATGCCGTAACATATAGCTTGCGAAATAAAGTATAAAGTACATGCACGAATTATAAAAGCATGTTGTTTCAATTTAGTCTTATAGTCATATGAGGGTATCATTTTAATATTAAGTGCAAACCAGTTGTATGAAAACTTTTCATAACAAAATATAAACTTTTGTTTGAATATGTTTTGGGATTATAGGCATACATCAGTTGCATTGAATAATAACTTTCAATTTCGAACGTTCTTTTGTATATAATTTACACCGATTATAATGGGCATTCCTATCCTTATAACGATAAAATACATGTATACGATAAAAACAGTGACTTTTAAAATCAAAATATTGTTGACATGAGGCACATCAATATCACTCCAAGTGTACATTCCTTTTAAGAAGAACACATAAATAAACTGTATCACCTTCTAGAATTGTACACTAATTCTCTTAAACTGTGTTGCTGTAACTAGTTGCCCTTGTAGATGAGCATAATGCTTCTCCCATGTCTACAACAGTCTTTTCTTCTTTTACCCTGTATCTAGCTGTAACTGTAGGGTGTCACTTCCTTTCTTCTTGTACGACATGAATGTTTTTGCTTGTTATTTATCATATCGCAGACTGTGCACGAATATTTAATAGGTACGCAAATTTTACTAAAAAATGAACAGTAAAGAGATAGCTGGCTGGTTTGGTGATAGGAAATATTTACGATGATTACAAGCAAGAAACCTGCAAACATACATATAAACTGACTGTTCTCTAGCGGGAAAACATGAAATATTTCTTAAATTTACAACATTATGTTTTTGCTAACCATTCTTCAGTACACAGTACATCACAAGATTTTGGGATCAAGTTTTCTTGAGACCGATGTGACGCAAACAAGACTTTTCGGTCCCAAACCAAATCAATCCCAAGACGAATCAATCCCTTTTTTCAAGGCACTTCAGCCCTTTTATCATATTAGTTTTGTTAAATATCGCGTTTTCTTCTTTTTATATTTTAAAGTCAATTCTGTTGAAAAATCAATCGACAAAAATCGATTCGTATGCAATCAAGGAAGCTGATATTTTGCTGACGATTTTGCTCACAATTCCTTTGTATTCCATATAGATCTAGTTTCTTTATGTGTGAATAATTGAAAAATTAAAAATACTTATATAGAGTATTTCAAACTTCAATATAATCAAATCTTTAATTTAATCTAATTTGCATCATATATACATGTATGTGTTGTATTGTAACATATGTTTTGTACCATTCATGGACTGTTCTTTAATGTTTGTAACGTTCTGATAAAAAGTCGTTACATTTAAAATACTGAATAATTGAACACTGTCTGTTTTATTGTACAGTGAGTAAAGCTATACATCAGCTGCCTGCAGTCACGGACTTCAATTAAAATTCGTGTTGCACTTTACAAAATTTGTTTGAGTTTTTAAATATAATAATTCCAAAATGCCTGAGAAATCTGTTGGTATATTTCCTTTTGAGCGTTCGGCAAATACGCAAAATCATTGCAGTAAAACAAAAATATTTAAAAAGCAACATAATACTTTCTTCTGTAAATATTTTCTGGAATATTTTATTATGTTTATATACAGTTTTCACGTGTAGAAACATTCATAAAAGAAATATTCTATATTACAATTCTTTCGAGAATCGACCATATAATATGGACACAACATAATTTTACCTTCCTAAATTTTATGAAAATATTTCATTAGAAACAGCTTTATGCAGTATACTTTAAGCAATTCTTTGTGTAAAGTGATTGCAGACACTGTTATTATTTTTGTTAGATAAATCTCCATGACGATTTTAAAAAATTGGTATGATATAAGTATATGTAGGTGTATATTGATTATTATTCCGCTATGTTATACATGTATTATGAGTTAAACAGATAATGAACCTTTTTTTATTCATTCTTTACTAATTGCTACAAAACTTCTAGTAAAAATCGACTTGGGGGCATTATTTTGACCTGCACATGGCATAGTCGACTGTCGAAGACCGGAGACCGTCGATTAGTGGGCTCCAGAAAAAAAGTCCGGTTTCAGGTAAGGTTTTTATGCATCCGTGGAAAAAGGGAAGCTACTCCAGGATAATTAGATTAGAAAGATGGTTTGTTTTTGTTTGTCATGTTTAAATCTCATTTTATCTATTAGAATATTATGATAAATCGAGATTTTATGATTTTTTTGTTATTTTTTTTCTTTTCAGGCAAAGTATTTCAGCCAGAATGATATCGATTGTAAGTATAAGAAACGTATTTTATCTTTGTTTTCACACCTGTCGCACCTGTAAACAGGTAAATGTAAACCTGTTAAACGGCCACACCCATTTTGGATGCTTGTTAGTCTCACCGGGGGCCCACACAGTGTTTGGATGGTATATACTGCTTGATAGTGACCTTAAAATGAGATTTTAGTCATAACCTTATAATATGTATATAAATATAGACAAGGGGCATTACTCGCTAAATAGAGAATTTTCGATCGCCCTCAAATTCATGCGAGATTTTCCACTAACTAAATAAAAAAATTCCAAAAACTATACTGCGTTGCATAGCTTATTCAATCAACAATTGATAAACACTAACTCTATTCTGATTCCCTTAGCCCATTTTAAGAAATTTATTCAAAACCGTTCACTTCTGTCACAAAATTGCTTAGTCGTACGAGATGTCGCAACACCAAATTCCACGGGTAAAATATCAATTTTAAAAGGGGTAGGTACAAATAAACGCATGCAAACAATAGCACAACATAGTTTCTATTACCTACCTGCGCAAATAGTCGTGAAGCGCTCTATATTCGTCTGTTTCGAATCAGTGCAGAAATCTGCTCCGGCGAATACATGTTGGAAATTCTGGTCATGGTGTATGGAAACCTTTCATTGGTTGTCGTTATAAACAAAGTTCCTACCGAACCAATGAAAGGTCTCGATACACCGGCTGGTCACGTGACAGGGTTTCCCCAAGATGTCTACGTCGAAGTAGATTTCTGCTCTGATTTGAAGATTTCGTTCGAAACAGACGAATATAGAGCGCTTCACGACTATTTGCCCAGGTAGGTAATAGAAACTATGTTGTGTTATTGTTTGCATGCGTTTATTTGTACCTTACCCTTTTAAAATTGATATTTTACCCGTGGAATTTGGTGTTGCGACATCTCGTACGACTATGCAATTTTGTGACAGAAGTGAACGGTTTTGAATAAATTTCTTAAAATGGGCTAAGGGAATCAGAATAGAGTTAGTGTTTATCAATTGTTGATTGAATAAGCTATGCAACGCAGTATAGTTTTTGGAATTTTTTTATTTAGTTAGTGGAAAATCTCGCATGAATTTGAGGGCAATCAAAAATTCTCTATTTAGCGAGTAATGCCCCTTGTCTATATTTATATACATATTATAAGGTTATGACTAAAATCTCATTTTAAGGTCACTATCAAGCAGTATATACCATCCAAACACTGTGTGGGCCCCCTGTGGTTAGTCTTGCAGACGAAATATTGAGTATAGTGTAGGCTTATTCAGCATGAGTAGTATATTTCTCTACAAAAGTAGCATGTCATATATCGATTATATTCTTGACCTTCACAAATAAGCAATTAATAACGCGCATAAGTTTCCAATAACTTTTTTATATTCGACTTTTTATTTTTGGACCGTTGCGAAGTAATATGTTATGGGTCAAATCCTATTTGCAAAGGCTACCAGAATTTGGCATGTTTGTGCGCCGTACATAAACTATTAAAAGTCACCCCTATTAAATCAAATTTGGGTCAAATAAAAATCATTGATATTTAAAACAAATACAATTTTGAATAGCAATTCATGTTTTCGTTTTATTTTTATATAGGGCAGCAACACATGTGATCACTGATTGCAGCTTGTGCTAACATGAAAAGTTAACGCTCTCATTTACCATTCATGATATAGACCAAAGCCTCTGTTCTTTAGAACTGTTACTTCCATACGATTAAAAAAGACTATACATTTTACTTAATTTGAGAAAAATATATCAAGAGGATAAGAAATGTATGAAAATTCATAAGTCCCATACTTTATACAAAATTTGCTACTGATTCTATGATAATTCTAGCCTGATACAAATAGTGTAAGAGCAGTTTCTTGACAATTTCTTACTTAATTTGGTATCTGTAGAAATACATGTAGTAGAGCTTCAGTGCAAAGCATTTTAACGATTGTACTGCATGACGAGATATTGTGCTATTTTGTGTCTGGTCACAATATCTCCCCTCTAAGTACAACATAATAAGTACCTTTTCTGTGGTGAAATACATAACGATTTTGATACAAAAATAAACACAATTATGTACCATCAAAATAACGACATCACAGCTATTGTTACATGAGAAATACACTGTTGATAATTACACTGGCATATATGCGGTACTGCGTTACAGAGAAATGACAAAACACTCATTGTAAAATATCAAGTTTTATGTTATATTTAAGACATTATTTATGCAAAAATTAATAATCATGAAAATATTATTTTATGGGAGCAGATGCACAACTTATTCGTTATTGTCAGAGCATTCTTAGAAATATCAGAGTAAGCGAGATTCTGGCCCAGAACGAAAATATCTCAGAATCAAGCTTTGGCACGTCAATATGTTTTGACTATTTGGCGATATACCAATATCTGATGACAAATCTTGTATTTAATACTTTTTTATGCCTGTTTCAGTGATTTCAGTAAAATAAATGTTCTGGTCATGCAAATATGTATTTTGTCATCACTGCTGTTAAATGTGTCCATTATGTAACAGCAGATTAGTGTTAGACATGGCCAGCTGCTTTTGTATATGTTTTAGTGAATTTTCATAATTTATAGACCTTTAAATAATTTATCAAAATAAAAGTTTTTGCAAATGTTTAATCGATTATTGATCAACAGAAGAATATCAACAATACCTTGATATTGTCTCTATCTAAGAAATAGTAAATGATAGGATATATTGGCTAGCATAAAACATTTTATATGTACAGTTGACAAAATTTTCTGCATTAAGATTGGTTATCAAAATTTTTAGAAAGTATGCTTCTTAAATGTATTTTTAATGGAGTTAATGTTTCTGTTTCAGTGTTTAAGGAGTGTTTTTTCTTTATCGCGAAGCGAGGGTACACAACAAACGAGGATGAGATGGGAGTTATAATGAGATCTCTATCTTACAGTCCTACAGAGGAAGAAATTCACAACTACTACCAGAAATATGTCAAAGGTATTTATAAATCAATGTCATTGAACACTGCCTATATTATTACTTATAAAGATTTTTTTGACAGGTTATATGAACCTATATAAACTGTTGTTTTGAAATATAACCAAAGCTGCTAGGCAAGTGTTATATTGCAGACAACTATTTATATATGGCCATATAACCTATCAGAAATTTTCATAACAAATTTATAATATAACAAGCATCTTTTGTTTAAAGAAAAAAAGTGAGATTTCTACATAAATTGACAGCATCCTTGTATATAAATCTATCACGATTATCCAATTAAAGGCAACATAACAAGCGTGTAGTATCCTTGACTATTGATAGACAGTGGGGCTATCCTTGATAGCAGGTTTTTGGTGTAACACTTCATTCACATTAATCATACTGTAACTGTTACAGTTAGTAAAATTTTGTTTATGTAATTTTGTCTTGACAAAAGGGATGGACATCTGCTCATAGTATGAAAGTACACTAGAAAGTACCAGGCTTCTAGTTTTCATTATTGTGACCATATATCTATTATGCCTTACTTGACCACAATGTCTAATTATTCCAAATTAATTGAGGTTTTGATAAGTTCAGACTATGATAACATAGGATTTCAGGATAAAATTCAGGATTTAACTCACTACAGTGATTGAGCAGTACCTCTAGATGCTTGCAAAAATCATCTTCACAAAGTAGAAAAGTATCATTTTTTCCCTGATTCATACATTTTTTTTATTAATTTTTGTATACATGTATATAAATTGATGTGAAGAGATGAATAAGACGTCTTATGAGCATTTCAGCAAGTGAAAAGGGAAGATTTTAGCATTTAATCATTCAAGCGCTTTGTCGGTTATATACCAGTATTTAGTGTGGTGCTTCGACACTATTTATAGTCTCACTCCTTTTTTTCATGTATATTTTCAGATGGGAAGGTAGATTTTGCTTCGTTTTTGGAAGTCATGCATGAGCACAACACAAAGGAGAATGCAATGAGGGAAATTACAAATGCTTTTAGAGGTAAAATTTAATAAGTTTCCTTAATTGTGACATTTATCTTATTAAAGTGACTCGACTGAGGGTTTTTTACATGACGGAACTAGAAATATGTTTTAACCAGATTTGATGTAGGTCTTGTGCAGTAACTTGTGCACAAAATTTTCATTCCCTCATCAAGTTTTTCCAGAATTATCATGTTTTAGTCTGCAAAATGACCTAAAAATGGAAAGATTTTCACATGAATCAGGCTATGAATTGAACACAAAATTGAAAGTGAATTTATTTCTTAGTATATTTACTGATTATACTGTGTAAATTTTTCCATTTTAAGTGGTTTACTTGATTATGTTAAATTCAAATTTGGTATTCAGGCTTTTTTTAGCTCAGTGGAGTTCCTTTAAAGCCACACTCCCATACATAACAGGTCTATGAACATCAACATATTTGTTTAACAGTTTTTTAAATACAAATCAAAAGTAAAATTTGCAGTAACCAGTAACAGTTGTTTATGCCTCACTTGAGATAGATACTAACACTGCTGTTTATCACAAACTGGTTTAACAAGATATATTCTTCTTTTATGTCACTTTTGTAGACATAAACTTCTATGATATAGTGTATAGCAATCGATTGCAGGGTAAAAGAAAACTTACTTAGGGCACAACTGTTCTACCAGCTACCAACTGTTCTACTTGCAACCAGTTAACTGGTGTGTATTCTAAATTAAGTCAATGTTAAAAAAAATGAAAGAGCAGGATCAAAGTGCAAATACATGTACTTTACTAAGAATGTTATTTGTCAGGCAAGATTTGTTTTGTTGACATTTTTTTTCAAAAACTCTGAAACCATTATGTGTGCAATAGTACCTCTAAGGGGGGCTACTGATTTCTCAAAAAGGGAAGTTGATTTCTTAATGTTGTACATAATTCTTTTCAAAGGAAATAGATTGCTTTCTTTATGTATGGAATTTTTCTGTAAAAGATCAGTAAATTACTTTCTTTATGTGTTACAGTTTTGTATTTTTCCTGTAAAGGGAAGCTAATCAGACTTTCAGGAATTGTTAATCTTTCTTTGTTCAAACTCGAGATGAATAAATAAAGAAAAAAATGTTGAAAAAGATAATTTTTATGTCTGTGAATATTTTCTGCCATATCTACACTTTTATTGAAAATGTTAGCTGTTCTTTTAACTTTCAGCACATGACACTGAAAGTCACTGATTGTTACTATTTTAAGTTTAAGCACATGACACCGAGCATCACTGATTGTTACTATTTTTAACTTTCAGCACATGACACTGAAAGTCACTGATTGTTACTATTTTAAGTTTAAGCACATGACACCGAGCATCACTGATTGTTACTATTTTTATCTTTCAGCACATGACACAGAGGGTAAAGGTTATGTACAGGTTAATGAAGTGAAGAATATTTTGTTAAATCTTGGAGAGAGGGTGTCACGCAGAGAATGTAAGAAATTTATTGTTAGTTAAAGCTTCATACATTAAGATCAGTAAACAGATAAAAAAAGATAATAGACTAGGGGAAAAATTTTAAAAATATATATTTATGTCCACAGTCTTTATTAGGCAAGTATTATAAACCTTTTAGGCTAAAATTTAGCTGTTCCAACACTGCTGGGTCACTGTTGGGGTTCCACTTTGGCCCCAGCATAGTACTTAGTGTTAAATGGAGATTTCACCATCTGACAGTGTGAACAAAGATCAACCTATACCAGAATTTTTATCATATGTTCAAACTCAAACTGACCTGACTCAATATAGCTGACTAATTATTTCTCATGTTGAAATCTATCAAACAAACAGCAGTGTCTGCATGATGTTAAACTCCAGAAAACTTTTAATGAGAGGTACAAGCTTAAATTAAACAACTACTAGGGCAATCAATGGGGAGCGGTGGCCGAGTGGTTAAGGAGCCTGCCTCTCAACCCAGGAATCATGGGTTTGAGCCCTTCTAGGGTCACGATCAATGATTCCTCATATCATTATGACACTAGTACTGGTTGGTTCCAGGTAGTGGACTTGAAAGTGATTAATTTAAGTTGTAAGAACTTTAATTGTTTCGCAATCGAAGTAAAATAAATATGTTTAAAACAAAAAAAACTAGTATGTCAATTGTTGTATAAAATATTTTATCAGACTTTTGTTATATTTTCAGTGGAAGCATTGTTTAGAGATGGTGGTGTTACTGGTGGTCAGATCAGATATAGTGAATTTATAGATAATATAGCCCAGCCAGTACCAGATTATTGATATGTTACATCATTCCAAATATTCATCATAATTGAGCTGCGTCACGCCAAAACCAACATTGTGCGTTTGTGACCAGCATAGATCCAGACCAGCCTGGGCATCGGCACAGTCTGATCAGGATCCATGCTGTTCGCTATCAGTTTTTCTACTTGTAATAGGGTTGGTAAGCGAACAGCATGGATCCTGATCGGACTACGCGGATGCGCAGGCTGGTCTGGATCCATGCTGGTCGCAAACCTGTTATTTGGTTTTGTCATGGTACGGCTCAATTATAATATATTCACCTAGATGTGAAACTATACTTTATCATATGTACTATACTGTATCATATGTTTTCTATTTATAGCATATATGCAGTAACAATAGATTATTGGTTAAAGCAGCATGCCTCCAGATTTATGCTTATTTTCATGAATTTTTTTAATGTACATGTATAAGAAAGTAAAATATTGTCATGTGAACAAAGAAGTAATTTAAACATCGCAAATGGCAACATGCAAAAATAGCCCTTACTGCATTAGTCATGATAATACTAAAAATGTATGTAAATTGTTTTCTAACATATAAATTATTTATTGAATTTTCCTTAAAATCTTAGTACAATTTCATTTTTTTTTTCTTGAAATATTTGGCTCATCTGGATTCATGCAGCTTTAAGATGTTATGAAACATTTGTACAGAAATTATTTTACTTGTTTGTAAATCAGAGCAAATTTTGATGAAAACTGAATGACACAAAATCTGTATTGCAAATTAAGCTGTGATAAAATTATACATAACTTTTTAAAAAGAAATTATATTGTTCAATATTATACATATGTATTAATAGACTACTTTGAAAGGAAATTCCGTTATTAAGTTACATTGGACTAAATGTATTTTGAATTGCAGAATATTTTTGGATATTTCTTAAAAAAGGTTTACTAGTATTATGCCAGTTGTGTTTATAATTACATTTAAAACAAAATCCAAATTTTTGCTTCGATTTTATTATGCAACTTGCCACTTGTATGCAAATTAGTTTGAGAATTCTTGAATATTTTGTAAAATAACTACTGCAATCATGATTGTTTTCACAACACCCATTTTTGTTTTCTATGTATACAGATTAAGCATGTCACCATATTCTGAAGGCAAACTTTTCTTAAGAAGTTTTGTCCAGCTTTTACTATCTCTCTCTGTGTATAATGAATAATACCACACATTTTTGTTAATGTGTTAGAACAAGAAGGGTTAAAGGTCATATCACGACAAAAAATTTGAATTTACATTATGTCTGATCACTGAACTACGTGAAATCTGCACCAGTTTCTATAGTTTATGTTTTAAATGAGCAGTAAATACATGTATCATGTGTTAAGGGGATTGTTAACATGCATTGTCGTTTTCATTATTTTGATTGACTATGTTGAATTGACTTTTTCACATTCCCAAGTTAAAGTAAAATAATTTATTACATAAACCTGTACAAATTTTGCTATATTTATGATACATTTTACATACATTGTACTGAATCAAATATTACAGAAAGAAAATATGTGTTATACTTATAGGAGTATGATAGAGTTTGATACGGAAAGACGTTGCCAATAAGTTATTATTAAATATGGTATAAATTTGCGAAGGTTTATAATAAAAGCAACATTATCAGTTTATCTGGATCGATCATTTTAAGATTTAGCTCACATGTATTTTACAAGAATAGATCGCATTCGGCGTTTCCGAGCTTCATGAGATCAGGTCATAGTAAAATTGACTTGAGTCAAATACAAATTTCAGGTCAAGATACGCTTCATTTAACAATATTTTATCATCAGGTTTGGATTAAATGAGTAGCTAATATATATATTATAAAATTTTATTTATGAATTGATAATCTTTTTTTCTTTTTTTTTTTTGATTTCTTGAATGAACTCTTGCATAATTTCAATTTGGAGGCTATCAAGTTTGTACTGTACTGTTGTTATTTTTGCATAGATGTGCAGGCACACCTGCTCTATACGGTTGTTCATGGTTGTTTATATTTCATTTCCTTCTAACTCTTAAATCTGCAAAAACTTTAATCAGAAAACTCTCAACATTCCAGTTTGTGTTGAAAGACACTTTTTTAAAATTTTAATGATTTCTTTTGTAGTTATTTTTGTTGTTTGAATATTATGTATATCATACTTTTGATGAAAGAATATACTTTAATGTCTGACTCACTTCAGTTCTTTTTTTGCGCCAATACCTGTAAGATAAAATCTCTATAAACCGTCTGGTAAAATCTCAACAAAACGGTAACCATGCAGATAAAATCTACAAAACCATGTAGATAAAATCTTTGCAAAACCCTGTAGATAAAATCTGTACAAAACCCATTTTTGAATGGATACAAATATTATATACATACTGGTATGGAGGTGAAATTACATATAGGAGTAAATATAATATTGTACTAGTTGAACAAAATGTTATATATTTGAAAGTTAGATATGCATATAGAAATTGTCACAGCTTTTCGTATAGTTTCAAATGGCATACAAAATCGCTATTCAATCGATTAATCTTCATAAGAATGGTGAGGAAATAATGGAAAAAAAGCCGTCTCTGGTTAAACCTTAAAGTTGTTGCATGAACCAAATATGGACTATAATTAATTCAACATTGCGCTGAATACACCTATAAAACGATCCAAATTTAGGTTAGAGGTACTCAATTATACCATCGAATTTAGAAACCGATTAAAAGTTTTAGAAGGTAAATATTTGCAACACATTATAATTTTAATATTTCAATCGCATGCGTCGTGAAGCCCCGGATTAAACAAGGTTTCAGTGACAGTTGACGAACAAAAAATAACTAAAGTAGGCTAACAGAAATATAATAAAATCATGTCATTTATTATTGAAATGTCAAACAAGAATTATTACCTTTTTATGTAGCTATTGTTATATATCTAAAATTTAACAGCAAATAGTAACAAGTATATAGATGGAATATTTTGTTTATATAATTTTATGTATAGACGGTCGTAAGCTCAATTAACCCAGATAAAGGTCCGCATAACTCAGTGGGTTAGTCTTAGAGCTCTCGACATTGTGGGTTCAATTCCCGGACTGGCCAACTAAAATTACTAATCAGTCTTTCGGGTGTGACTTGAAATCGAGGTCTCGTGTATGAGTGCTTTAACACTTGGCACGCTAAGAACCAACTAGAGAAGCTTCTGGATTTGTGGCATCTTTCTATATCTTGCACTATCCTTCAATATTTAAAATGACTAATACTCTTCTGGAGGACCTGCCCATATTGGCAACCAGTGGCGAGTGTAAATGAACTCAAAACGCAAACACACAGTCGCCAACCCATAGTAATATTGCATACAACAGTTTACATACATACATAGATATATTTAGTAATAGTTACGTACGAGGAATAGGTATGCATTGTATTTACAGACCCTGGTGGCGATTTGAAGACCGAGAGAGCGTAGCGATCGAGGAATACAAATGTGCGGTAAGCAGCGTAGCATTCCAAAGGTTTCAATCTTTTAACATATAGCCGGAAATGCAATCTTATCAGTCACTACTATCGTTACAAGCTTATCTTAAATATCCTGAACTTTTTGTACCTTCACTGTTCAAACATCAACATCACACAATGCATCATGTTAGAACGTTGAAAATATAATTATTTTTGTCATACAAGTCTCATTTATAGATCACAATTAATGACCTGACGAAGGGTTTTATCAATAATATTCACATATATAATTATATCTAATATCACAATAATCGTCGTCCCACTTGTTGCCAAAGTAACCAAGCCAAATACAATCTCTGTCTTTTGGTTCTCCAGGAGCCCAATTCTGAAAAAAGACAAATATCTATTGTATTGATGATAAATACTTGTACTTTAATTAAAGACTAATTCATCAAAAAGTAACGATTTATTCACGAAAGAGAACATTAATTTTTACGTCTTAAGTTGTCATCTGCATAGTATACTATAGTTTATTGTACCCACGTGCTCATGTTAACTAGTGCATTAATTCATGTTATGTCAATTTGGTAGGTAGTTGGTAGATGGATATTCGATATATATATATATACCTACCAAATTGACGTTCATTAATTGCACAGACGGTTTGACATAGAATGTTTCGAAGAAAATCAAAGCAAAAAATACTTACATTAATTTTAGAGTTAAGATAAAGAATAGCATAGATAAGTCTATCCGGAAATGATGGACAGAAACAAAAGGGCCAACGTGGCCCTAGATCGCTCACCTGATCCATCATTTCATTCAATCTTTTTATTGTAGGTCAAGCGATATTAAAATATCAGAAGTAGGTCAACCGATATCAAAATTCAATTCCGCATCAAAACTTGCACCCCTGGCAAATTTCAAATCTGTATGTCATAAAACAAGAAAGTAGATCAAATGATATCAAAAATATCAAAAGTAGGTCAGATAATATCAAGATACAACTGTGCATCAGAAATTACACCCTTGGTCCAAATTCCATGTCTGTATGTCAAAAAGCAAGAAAGGTAGTCAAACGATATCAATAATATCAAAAGTAGGCCAGCTGACATCAAAATTAAATTTGGCATCAAAATTACACCCATGGTCTTTATTTCAAGTCTACTTCAAAAAGCAAAATACTAGATCAAACTATATCATTAATATTGAAAGTAGGTCGGTTGATACCAAATTCAATTCGGCATCAGAAATTACATTTTAGTCAGTTTGATGACAATTGCGTCAAAAATGTGACCACTTGAGTGTTAACAAAGTTTTTCCATATTTGGGCCATGTGACCTAGTTATTGACCCAAGGTGACCCATATTCAAATCATCAAAACAAACTTTAGAACCAATTTTCAAAATATTTGGATAAAAAACAGTAGCAACTTACGTTGGCACAAAGAGTGTTAACAAGGTTTTTTTTTTATTTTTAGCTCCTGTGACTAGTTTTTTTTTATCAGAGATTACCCATGTTCAAAATCATCCGACCAATTACCTAGATAAGCATCCTGACAAAGTTTCATAAAGATTGAGGCAAAAATGTGAGCATTAGAGTGTTTACAATTAAACGTGGACGGATGACGGACATTCAAAGATCTTAAAAGCTCACCCTAAGCTAGCTCAGGTAAGCTTAAAAGTGGTTGTTAGCTGTTAAACGTTTGGAATCTAAGATAAACTGTTGAACTTTTAGAGTAATTTTTTTTCGTTCAGGTTTAGGCTCAGGCGGTCGTATCCGTAGAAGAGATTATAAAGTGTCAGTGACATGATAGGAAAAGAGTTGCGCTGCCATTTTCCCGCCACATGAACATAATGTAGATTTGGTAATGGACTGTCTATGAAGGCCAAAGTTCAAGGAGCCACAATCTGAACGGATATGTACGTGCAATATTTGGCCTGCACGACTACCTACATATTACAGATAGTGGAAACTTTTGTTCTGTTTTTATTAAGGCACCGTTTATAAAAGCAACACCGATGTGGCACTAATTCTAAGAGAAACACTCCGTTTTAAATCATAAATTACAGGTATACAATTGGTTATTACTATTTACACAACAGTTATACATGTTTAATGAATATTATAATATAATGTCATAGTCAAGATACAGTTGATGTAAATGAAAAGATTGTCTTTCTTTGTTATTATTACATATCGTTATGCAGGATATTATGTTTGTTCTTTTTGATACATAAGATTTGAAATTACAAAAATAAAAAATGAAAATTAAATCTGAATAAAAGATACTTTTACATCCGTACTTACAGTGTAACCTCCGCCTATACTTCTACCATCTACCCATATACAATTTTTCACATTATAACAACGCATGCCTATCCAGTGTCCTAAACCTAAACCAAATATCAGTTTAATTACGTATTCTACTTACTTTAAACATGTAAATGCATGACAAATTACCACGAAAGGGGGAAAAAGACGACATATTTTGATATTTTAATAAATTTGTATTGGACCAGGTACGTTTATATAATATTTACCTGATTGGACTATATTTAAAACTGAATTGAACAAAGCTGTTTGCAAGATGTAAAAAGTACTTTCAATAAAGTGACTCACTGAAAACTTTATAATTATAGTAACCTAGCTGGATATTATTTCTTTTATCTCATAAAAATGAAAACTTCACTAGCTATTACTATAAACTTTCTTCAATCAAACTCTTACTTCCTGCGATTGATTCGATGAATTCTTGTTCCGCTTGATTGTCAATTATTAACAGATGTGCTGACATCGCCTCGCAATTTGTCTGTAATAAAAATCGAGGTTGATCAAGCATTGTCATACAAATAGCACCATTTAACCAACGTAGAACCGATCTGAATTCTATTTTATGCAAAATAATATTCTTTCATTATGGTAACAATTCTGTACTGGATTATGCATGTAGACGCTTTCACAAAGCATACAAATGAACTTGAAATGTTAATTGAATAGACTATATTACTCTTGAATTTGGAATATCTTGTATGTCTATAAGATACTTTGTAATAAATTTACAAGTATTATACTCTTAATTTCGTTTCGTAAGAGTTACCCTTATCTTGCTTTCATAGTCTTTGTTTTATGTATTTCCTTATTATATGCTATAATAATTATAGCATATAATTGTCACAAGGAAACACATTACTGTAATACTTATAAAGAAAACATTTAAAGTGTCAATACTTGGTAAATTTAAAGATTTAATTCTTGTAATTTTCTTAAATATGACCTACACTTTCCATTATATTACAGTGACCCCCCCCCCCTGTTCTTCACTTTTTTGTCTCCATTCTGATTTTTTTTTCTTCTTTTTTTTCTATTTATGTGGTGAAATTATCTAAATTTTGATATAGGCATTGCATTACACACTTGACATGTTCAGCTCCTCTTTGTGATCCTTTACAAATTACGTCATTCGTAGTAGGCATTTATTATCTTATTGTAAATATATGGAAGGCATTAAATGCAGGTACAATGAACGATGTCATGTTGTTACTAAAATAAATTGTAAAAAACCTCCATCAACTTGTAGCTGTTATCATAGTAAAATTAGTACAGTACCTTTTAAAAATGATTTTCACTTCGTTTTTAATTTCTTAAGTATTTATTTCATTATTATTTTCCTTATTTGTAAAACAGCGGTTTTTAATTTATTTAAGAAAGAAGAGAAAACACAAAAAGCATACATAC